GTTAGTGTCTTTGACTTTTAGCTTGGAGGCAATTGGAATAATACTCGAAGACTTATTACCATCTTTAGAGACAAATTCTCTGTGGATGGAACTTCTTGAGATTAGTGTTGTTAAGTATACAGATTATTTTAAATCCTTATGATGCAATCTATAGTAAGTGTGCTTTGGGAATGAAAATGTAGTCAACAAATATACATATTAGAAGCATTTTGCATTGCTCTAACATATATATTGTTTCGCCTACTTTCTTTGACTTTAGTTGATTTACATTCAATTATTTAACCACATACGTTCTTCTAGAACAAATACTCGAAGATACACGTCCTCTAATGTGGTCTCGTTTTGCCTCTAAAACATCAGCGTTCTAGCGAATAGGTGAATAATATAGAGGAGTGTGGTGCACTACGATACCTTAGAACTTGTCTATTAGCCTCTTGTTGACACACGTAGTAAAATGTCGTCAATACATTTCCTCAACGCTTTCTGCCCACCCTATGCTTTTCTTTCTTTCTTTCTTTCTCCATGACATGCTTTAACCAGATTGAATATTTCCTTAAGTGCTCTTTTAGAGAGAGGAAGCTAAGATAAAGCCAAAACAAGTACAATCGTACAAAACATGAGATGAGATTGATGATTCTCTTTCACAGTTTCTAGACCGCAAAACTGAAAGCCACTTCTTTTCATACACGTCCTCATGTACGTATGCACCAGTTCCTAGTTTTTATTTATATTTGATTTTAGATTTTTCCTTTCTTCTTGTGGATCCTGCTATTCCACTCTCTCTTTCATTCTTTCTCATAACTATGCCCTTTTTGTTCTTCTCAGATCTATGCTAGTGTCTCGTGTCTCATTCATACCTTATCTCATAGTTCTGTCATATTTGATAATCATGAGCAGCCTATCACAAACATTTGGTGTACCTCTAGTGGGTGTCGCTGAATTCGTATGCTCTTCTAGAAGAAGATTCATTAGAAACACTTCCCATTAGGGATATTGAGCGGACACATAAATTGATAGACACTCTCCAGTGAAGTAAGATACACGCGAAGCAATGGTATGCAAGGGATTCTGCTAGCTTTTTACCTTTCTTCACATTGAGCATAATAATTTATTTTGCTATTAGTTGGCGCTGTTAGTCTATGTTTTGTGTTCACAATCATTAGATTACTCTTAAATGAGAGAAAGAAGGTCTGATTTACTTTTGGTGTTCTTGCTTCACCTCATTTCATCTCTGTGCTTTCAGTACTTTTATGTTTTTGCTTACTGTGACATTGTCTGTATGTGCGCTTTTCTGTGGTTATCTCGCAGTGTTTTTTGCTGATTTGACATTGGATCATTGTCACGTTACTTGTCTGATTTTCAATTCATTACAATATAAGATATTTGCCAATATAAATCATACACAGGATGTGTTAGTTCTTTTTGTCGCTCTGATTTGCTTTCTTTTACCATTTTATGTGGCCTAGGTAAATTAAAGATTTGTGGTTGGTAGTGCTTCTTGCTTGACTTTTGTGTATGTGTCTGTTCTCGATCACTCTAATGGATGTGTAGGTTGATGATGGTTTGCGTGCTCACATGATCGTATGTTTTGTCCTCTTTTTTCATTGAGACTTCTATCATCTGATGTTAGAGATGACAGAGCTAGAAACTATGGGTCAAGTCTATTAAGATCAATTCGAGTTCTTTCCTCCCTTCAACTACTTTTAATGTGAAGTGGCCCTAATATAACAGCACTTTCATTTTTGTTATTAATGGTATTACTCGCACCCTAGAAGTGCGCTCGTAGTCGGCCGAAAAACAAGGTCAGAATATAGCATTATTCATACTTGTTTCCTTGCATTCCCCTTTTTTTTTAGCGTTATTTCACTTTTAGATGTGGATGTATTTTTAATTGGCTTCCTTGTGGGGTGCATCTGCACAAAATTTTTCAAGTACCTTTGGAAATAGGACATTAGGGATATAATACGTTCAAATGAGTAATGTTATAGATATGATTTTGGAGAAACTATTATCCTTATTCAATTGAAAAGATGATATATTAAGCATAATCGTTGATTAAAAGTTCATTCCTCTATGGACATAAGCTACACTAACTTTCTCTCACGCTCTCTATTGCCTAAAGTTACGAATTCTAATTCTGATACATGACAACATTAGCTAAATGATGACTCTTGTTTGATCCTTTACTCTTATTGGTAATTGGTTCCATTTTTTAGTATTTGCATGTCTGTACTCATATTTATGATACTAGTTTATTTGATCATTAAATTCACTCACTAAAATCTTAATATCTCTCTCTCACGTATATTATATATGATCTCTTGTATTCTTTTATTTGTCTTTTATTTTTATCCTCTCTCTGTTCTACGGATTTCCCACGAAAATTCTTTTTGCATTATTCTTTTATATTACTGTAGCATGACATTTGATTTGAACTAAGCCATGTATTCATTGTATTATCTTGTTGTGTTCCTTATTGTATTGCTTGGATTAACAGGCCTAGTGAAGTTTCATTTTGCGGAAGATTGTCGTAGTTTTTTTTAAGGATAAAAATATGAGAACTCTAACAGACGAGAGAAAGGATTGGAAATAGAGATGCATGGTGTGATATTTGATACTGGCTCATATGACAGCTCCTATAATTCTGTCTAGAGCGGAAGCGCAGAAGAACAGAACAGAAAATAGAGAGAGCAGTTGTTGATGGTAGTTGTGAAGCGATTCGGGCGTTTAGTCAGAAGAGCTCTCTATAGCATGAACGTGTACTTGCACACATGGGCAGAGACCAAGGGCATAAAAACAACTGAGAGGGAAGGCATTTGGACAATGTGTATTTTTCCCTATTAGTTCAAACTAAAGCTCGTATTCTAAACATTCTATCTGTTTGCTATTTTCCGTCTCTGATAGTGAATAGTGTTAATGCAACTGAAGTCCTTTCAATATGGGCCTCATTTCTTCATTACCATACTGATCAATCATACAGATCTGTTTTTCAACCATTTATTATGATCCATTCTCGAATAGAAACCAATCAGATGGGCTCAAAGTGTTCACTAAGAGACAGAAACTAAGGATTCTCAGCGATACAAAGACTTGCTACAGTAGATCACATTAGGAATTTTTCCTCTAAATTTGAGCTTCAACTCTCTCACTTTGACTTTCTGTGGGTACTAGAAGGTGACTTTGGAAAAATATTAACTGTGGATTGAAAATTCACGCATTCATTGCCCTCCTAGTCTTTACCTATTCCACTGGATTCACAAAGGTAATGATGGTTCATACTCTGGACTCTGTGAGTGTCTCGGCACGCGGCATTTCAGGCCGAGGGTGATAAGCCTATTATGAGCTATGGCTATCGGCCGAGATGTGAATAGCATCCTCATTATTTCAATGTTTGCGTGGAGAATTGTTAATTGGTTTATCCAAGCACAAACGCTTTTAATTTTAATGTTGTATACTTTTCACGAGGCCATACCAATGAGCTCCTTCTACTCCTATAAACAATGCGGTTGTGCTATCTTCTCGACGCGCATAAGAAAGTAAAGAGTCGGGAGCTCTCGGGATTTTATGCAATTGAAGCCACACAGTGTAATACTGGTTGAAATCCTATCCTACGGTATAACTTCGATGGCAAAAAAAAAAAAAAAAAAAACAAACTACACCATCTTAATTTCTCAATCTATCTATTTAACTATCTAAAAATGAAATCAATCAAATTGTCTAATTTAATTCAAATCAAATTGATTTCACAATTAGATCCGGATAATCAACAATAAATACTAAATCAATCAAATTGTCTAATTTAATTAGATAAAAAAAAAATCCTAAGTGAAAGAAAGATGGAAGCAATCAATTAGATGAAATCCATGATGCATATAATTTGATCAACCTAATTAAATATTAAAACATCATAAAATATTATTAGTATGGCCAACCCCTTCTTGACATTAAATAAAACAAAAACAGTCCCTGACTTCTTGGAGTCTCAGTCATGGTCTTTCTATTGTAACACTGCACAACATAAAAAAATAAGTAATCTCAATCCATTTGGATGACCGAATTCCAAAAATACAAACAACACAATTATTTTTTCCATTTATAATTTGCAGGAAATATTTTTTAAAATTTTTCATTCTTTAGAGCATTCAGTAAAACAAACCAATAGGAAATATTTTCTCGATCAAAGAAAAATTAAGTCATTTTTAAAGAAAATTAAGTTATCTTTAAAGAAAATGACTTCTCATTTTCTCCCATTTTCAAGAGAGGACAATATTTTCCATGTATCGAGAAACTTATTATGTCCTTATATATTAATCATTAATAGTCACATCAATAGTTACCATTTACCATTAGCCACCGTCGCCTACCACCACTGGTCACTGTCAACGTTCATAATTTACTTTTTTTTTTGCATTTTCTTATATTTAACAATAAAATTTTTAAAATACGAAATTTTCTATTATTATTTATATTTTTTATGGTGTTAAAAATTTTAATATTTAACTAATTTTTAATATTACAACCAAATAATAAAAAATAAATTATTTTTTGAAAATAAACGGACCCTTAATTTTTGATAATTTTTCATTAATAAAAAAATAAATTTTGAAAACTTTTCTTTAATATTACCAATTTTGAAGTATTGACTCCAATAATTGAAAATTATCAAATTATTCGTCCAATCAACAAATTTCTTTATAAATTGAGGCCGAAAAAGATTCAAGAGCTAATAATCCAATAACATCCATCTTATTTTTTACTATGTTTTTTCTTTTGTTTTGTTTTTTTTTATGAATGGCATCTTATTATTATTATTAGTTTTTACAATAACAATTGAACATACCAAAATTTGCCTAGTATGTGTTAAGTAAGTATTCAAACCTTATAATCTTGAGTTCTTGACATATATATTTAAACATTTTCAGTCTAAAATATATATATATATATATATTAAACACTACAACAATCCAAAAACGTCAATGGCTCGACCAAAACACACTTACAAGGAAAAAAAGTTCTATACAAATTGTTTGCTTTGCCGTGTTGGGTCAAAATCCTAAGCTTTCTCCCACTCTTGCTTTCTTTCTTTCTTTCTTCTCCATTGTAACGGAAATTCCTAAGCCTTAGAGAGAGGAAGCAAGAAAAGCAAACAAACAATCGACAAAACAGAGAGAGAGAGATTCTTTATAAGTTTAAACAAACTGAGCCACTTCTCTTCATACACGTCCTCTATACGATCACCCACCTTTTTTTTTTATATATTTATTTTCCTTTCTTTATTATACTCTCTCTCTCTCTCTTTTCCCTTTCGTTCTCTCTTTGTGTTCTTCTCTCTCCTATCTCATTTTGTCATTTATTTAATAAGAAGTTACAAACATTGTATATGGTTCCTCTCTTCTCTTCTAAAGGTTCTTGAACTCCCATAAGAACCATAAAGATAGCTTCTTGAAGTTGTCACGAACATTTGCAGGTTCTTTTTATTGTTCTATAATTTCTTTTTGCTTTCTTTTTTTCCAATATAATTTAATGAGAAAGCTGATTTATTTATGTTCTTGCATCTTTCTATTTTTGTTTTTGCTCTTTAATTTCTTTGGCGTTTTTGGGTTCAGCTCTGTTTTTTTGTGAGATTGGATCATTGTTTCGTTACTTGCATTAATTCAATGATTTAAATCTTGGATGTTTAGATTTGGGTTTTGTTTATTGTTATATGATCTTTGTTCATCTTATGGTGTTTGGTGTGGTTTTGGTGAAATCAGTTTTTATTTTAATTTTTTCTGATGTTAGTTACATATATATTAGGATCTATAAAGAAATCATGGCAGAGTTAACATTGTGGAGATTAGTAATTTGTGTCTTTTTCAATGGTTTCCTTTGGAATTTAGATACCTGTTAGCTAATTGATAATGAAAATTTAGCTAATTGATTTTGTTTGATTAATTTATTGGTAATTGGTCCATTTTGTTGATGTCTGTCTCTTATGATTAGTTATTTTTTAATCACACAAAATTATTCTCTCTCTCATATTTTTATATGTTGTTCTTTTATAGTATTTTATTTTTATCCTCTCTGTCTAGATTTCCACGAAATCTTTTGATTTCTTTATTAGTAGATGACATGATTCTGATATATTGTTTTCTTGTTGGTTATTGCTTTAACAGCTTTAGTTTCATTTGGAATTCTATTTTTAAGGAAAGAAATCAACAGAAAGGAATAGTATTTGATATTTGATCTGGCTCATATGTCTATCTGTTGAGATGGGCAAACAACAAAAATTTGGGAGTTGAGGATCGGTTATCAGAACCCATGATAAGGTCTTGCAATGGGGACCCTAAACATGGAGAAGAAATGGGTTTTCCCTTTAGTCATAAGCTCTCTAATATGTGTATTCCTTTTAGCAACTTCCTTCAATATGGGCCTCATTTCTTCATTACATACTATCAATCAAATTTTCAACATTTTTCCATCTCGAATGAACCAATCAATGGAAGGTTATGCAGAAACTAAGGTTTCACGATCAACTTCTCAGAGTCCTGGAATTCCTAAATTTGCCTACTTGATTTCTGGGTCTAAAGGTGACTTGGAAAAACTTTGGAGAACACTTCATGCCCTTTACCATCCACGGAATCAATATGTTGTTCATTTGGACCTTGAGTCTCCGGCCGAGGAAAGATTAGAGCTTGCTTCCCGAGTTGAAAAACATCCTCTTTTTTCTAATGTTGGGAATGTTTATATGATCACCAAAGCTAATATGGTTACTTATAGAGGACCTACCATGGTTGCTAATACACTTCATGCTTGTGCAATTCTTCTCAAGAAGAGTAAAGATTGGGATTGGTTTATCAACCTCAGTGCTTCTGATTATCCTCTTATAACTCAAGATGGTTGGTTTATGTTATTTAACTTTTATGTATCTTCTTCACTCTCTTTGAAATAGATACTGATTCCTTGATTAACTGGCTTGGGATATGCAGATCTTCTTGATACGTTTTCAACCATAAACCGAAATTTGAACTTTATTGAGCATACAAGTCAATTGGGTTGGAAGGAGTGAGCTATCTGTCTCTGCCCCACCCCCCTCCCCTCTCCCCTTCTCTTCTCTTGCATATACAATACAACACATTGGGAACCCACTTTTTAGTTAATGATGCCATATCTGATTCTGTTGTTTAGGGAAAAAAGGGCGATGCCTTTGATTGTTGACCCTGGGCTCTACTCAAATACGAAGTCAGATATATACTGGGCCACACCACGAAGATCCTTGCCGACAGCATACAAATTATTCACCGGTGAGTTTATGTATAACTTTGATGCTTGTTAATAAGATTGTCAAGTTGGGACTTGCAAAGTTATGCAAGAAAATCAACTGAAAATTTTTCTTTTTTCTTTTTTTCAATCAATTAGTAAGAAGTATTGATTGTTGTCAACCGCTTATTTACAGGCCTTTGTTTCTTTAACATATTTTTGTTTAACTTATTGGCAATTATAAATGATGGTTCAACTGGCACCTATAATTTTATCTTGATTTTGGGAAATCATTTAGAAATATAGAAATTGAAAGTGAAAATATATGCTGCAGCTAATTGATCTTTAGATTGATCGCACAAGGCATCTTTTCTCTATTTCTCAGCAAGCGATGATTTGAAAGAATTGTAGTAAGATTTCTGTGCTTTATGTGTACACATCAATCTGTAAATAGACTGGTGAAAGAATTGTTCACTTTAAAAAAGCAACGATAAATTTGTACAGATATAGTTATCAGAATTGATGAAAACAAGAACAGATGTTGTACTGCAGGTATTTCTGTAATTGAAAAGGAGAAATTTCTGAATGCTTATGGTTGGACAATAATTTCTAATGCCGACTTCTTTAATGGAACTAAAATGCAAAAACATGTGAAAATATGCAGTTCTTTGTTCAACTAAGCATTAATCAGTATCTGCTATTCTGCAGGTTCAGCATGGATGGTTCTCACACGTTCATTTGTAGAGTACTTAATTTGGGGTTGGGATAATCTACCGAGAATCTTACTTATGTACTACACAAACTTCGTCTCCTCTCCTGAAGGCTATTTCCATACTGTAATATGCAATGTACCTGAGTTTGCTCAGACGGCTGTCAATCATGATTTACACTACATTTCTTGGGACATGCCCCCCAAGCAACACCCACATATACTTTCACTTAACGACACGAAGAAAATGATCAACAGTGGTGCTGCCTTTGCAAGAAAATTCAAAAAAGACGATCCTGTCTTGGATAAGATTGATAAGGATTTACTCGGTCGAAAGAAAGGAGGCTTCACTCCTGGTGGATGGTGCTCTGGTAGCCCCAAATGTTCGAAGGTTGGCGATCCGAATAAGATCAAACCAGGCCCAGGAGCCAACAGATTTAAACACCTCATAGCTAGAGTAGCTTTGTTGTCAAAGCTTAACCAAAACCAGTGTAAATAGATCTCCTAATCATAAATGCTTGCAGATGGAAGAAGGATTCCAAGTTCTTTCTGTCTGCAAGCCAGAAGGCACCATATTGGAAGATTTCATCTATGAAGAATTTTGATGTTGCAGTTGCAGCTATCAGAAATGAAGTTATGCTAGTGTTATTACAATCACACTCTTCTTGCAGTGGTAAAATCTAGTGTAGTACAATCGCTTTACTCTTTGTAGGTTCTGTTCTCTTACTTCCACATTTATTGCACCAGTTCTGTATGTTACTTCAAAATTTTTGTCATGGTAATAATTAGATATTTTTTTTTACTCATTCTGTGGTTTGGTTGTGCAAATCTTATGACATATATTAGAAATCTAAGCTCAATTTCGAAACTTACGTTTTAAGGTTAGAGGGGTTTATAAGTTATAAGAAGTTTCGTTTCTGCTGAAATTGAGAAATTCATGTTTATCATCTTTTTTATAAATTCGAATGCACTAAAATCAAATTTAAGAATTAATCAGTGACACATTCTGAATAGTAAATACCATAGAAATTCCAAATTAAAAGAAAAGAAAAATGCAGAAGTGCGGTATAGCAAATCCCGCAGATGAAGCTCCTGATTTTGTCACATTGGGAAGTTTTGGTCACATTGTCTGAAACAATTAATTATCAATGCAAAGCTTTAGATCAAAGAATGAATTTCTATGGTATTGACTGTTGAGTGTTGAAATTATCAAAACGCTGACAGGATCAATTATGGTTTTGGTCACATTGACTGTTATGTGTTATTTTGTGGACCAAAGTAAATACAGTGTTAATATCTTATAGGTAAAATATATATGAGTCTTTAAATTATATTCAAATTAATACTTAGATCTTTTTATATTTTAGAAATAACTATGATATACTTCCGTCGCACTATTAGGTCTTTTCGGAAAAAAAAAAAAATGAGCTCTTTACTTTACTGTTAATTAAATAAACTTTTTAAACGAAATATGTTCAGTTTTTGGACGGAAAGAGCTCACAGTTTAGATTGAAAAATTGAATAGTGAGATAAAGTTCAAGTTAGAGATGTTATAGTTATTTCTCAAATATAGGACTTAAGTGTTAATTTGAACATGATTTAGGACCAGTTATAACTACTATTAATTATTTGATTGCAATTTGCAAGAAAGTAATTGGAGGATTACTTCATTTGTCCACAAATATAAATGTTTAAAATTATTGCATATTGATTAAGAAAATAATTAATTCTTTTAAATTATAATGAAATATTTATTAATTTGACTAAATTATTCTTTAGAAAATTCTAGAAATAGTTATTCCATTTAATATAATAAGAATAAATTTAGAAAAATTTTATTAATTACTCCATCTATTTCACTTAAACGGTCAATGTTTAAGTTTTTTCTTATTTCAAAATATCATTTTTTAAAATTCAAGAAAAAAATTTATTGTATTTTACTCTTATATATTGAATCTCACTGTCACCAAAAGAAAGATTGAAATGTAGAAATGTGAAAGGATATTGAAGTAATTTAAAATGAAAATTTAATAAAATTAAGGTAAATTAATTATTTTCTTATTCTATTTAAGAAGTTAAAAAGTTTACGGTTAGAATGAACAGACTGGAGTACTTCTTTTAATTGCTTAAATGCTTCTAGAAGGAGGGGTATGCATTTGGAGCATTTCAATTTTTTTTTTTAAAATTTTCATTTTTAAAAAAATTGCTTCTAGAAGTTCTCTCCACTAGGACTGGCTAGCAGCCTGGCAATAAGCAACTGGCTTATTATATTGGATAAGAAAGGGAAAATTTAAATAATGTTTGAAAGAAAAGGACAAAAAAGGTAAATGCCAAAACAATGGTGGCCTTGAACAGATATGGTTGGCAGATAAGTTATAAGCTGCCTCCTCAACTAGATCCATGTGCTTGTTCAAAGCTTATTTTTCACATTTTACAATTAAAATTAAACAAAAAAAAAAGAAAAAAAAAGAAAGAAAGTAGTTAGATAAAAAAAAGATTTATATATTTAAAGCACTGTCAATTTGTGATATGTATATATTAATTATATATATCCCAATTAGATCTATAAGATTAAATCATTTTAATCTTAAGAATAACTTTTAATTTTTACATTTAGCGATGGTAAATGCTATTTTTTTTTAAATGAGAAATGAATATCATTACCTTGAGGAAAAATAATTCAACACATACTGAGCGTAACGATAGTATACTCTAGCCATTATATATTACAAGTAGGAAAAAGTAAGGTTGGAAACTCTTCTATTGACCCGAGGAGATATGATTTAAACTTGAATATATTATGTTATCATTTATGCACTTAGCACCGAGTTATATCTTGGTGTGTTGTTGATATCTACCTATTTTAATTTTATTTTCTATAAAAATAAAGAATTTGCATCATGACATCTTAGCCCCACATATTAATTATCCCTTACATTACTAAGATTAGAGGGATCGAGTTTATTACTGTCTCTATTCCAAAATATAAGTCGTTTTACGATGATTGTTTTGTCTCAAAATATAAGACATTTTGGATATTTTGAGGAGTAATAAATGATTTTTTTTTTTAAAAAAATTTACTCTTATTTATATTAGATACAAGTCAATAACTATCTTCACAGGTTGCCATTAATTTTGAGATAAATGACAATTTGGTTAATTTAGTTTTGATTTCATTAGAATTAATTGCTTCTTACGATTTATATTTTGGAACAGAGAGAGTATATTTTTAGTAGTGCATACCCAATCAATGTCTTTTTCAAAATCAAAATTTATAATCTAGTAGAAATAAAATTGGAATTCATAAACTCCTTAAAATAAAAAGATTTGGATTACTAAAACCAATAGTCTCAATGTCAAAGATGATGACTATGATACGCTTGGCTATGTCATTTCACCAATTTTGTTGAATATCATTATCAATGTAGAACTAACTAGTCAAAATGGTTGTACCCAAAGTTTCATGCTTGATGTTCGTTGGTTTATTGATATTTCTATCTTGAGTGATTTTTCTTGTTCATTTTTATATTTGAACTTACTCTAATAACCTTTGCATATCTTCAAAATTTTGAAAAAGAAATCTAAAATGATAATAGTAGATTTGATCTTGGATCAAAATATGAGCCATTTGGCACTATTCATACATTTATTGGCCTTTTGCCCCCTAAAATTTATTTTTGCATTTCATTTTCTTGATTTGCAGAAAGATACATAAATCTAAAGCAAAAAATTTTTACAAAATTATGACAGAATGATCATTTTACACAATCAGTCAAATGATTAACGTATTTCTCTCCTGGAGAACTTAATTAATGGCCTCTTGACAGAGATAATAAGATACAGGTAAATGCATTATAAATCTTTGATAGTTAAAACATCTTCCAAACCTTTCTATAACCTAAAGATTCCTATAGAGATAACAAGAATTGAAAGCTAATGGAGAATGAAAAAGATCATTGTCAAAAAAAAAAATGATTGACTATAAGCATTGCAAAATATACAAGGAAAAATCAATTATGTGCTTTTTCCCCCTGAATTTTATCTACAATACAGTGTTTCATTACCGAGTATTTCATTGCAATAATTTGCATCCTCTATCATCTAATCTCAAAAATTGTATCTCTAATCGCAACCGTCAAGTTCCTATATCACTTGCCTATCTTAGTTTCACAATTTCCTCTGGTACAAGATTATTGTCCTGAAATCAAATTTTATCCAAACACCATAGCTGTCTTTTCTCTTCTCTGCAATTCTGTTTTGATATTTGGACAGCATAAGTTCAAGTTAAACCATCTCCAAAATTTTGATATTCCCAGTAGAATTTGCAGCAACTAAGGTAGAGGACTGCCCGCGCCAGCAGACTGACGAAATAAATTGTGAAGCATCATCAATTTCATTACCAGAAAGAGGATCAGTGTTGTTGAACTTGAAAGACAATGCTGGCATGGGGAAAGCTTTATGGTAGATGAAAACCTGTTCCACAGAAAATATCTCATTCAGTAAACCAATAGTGATTAAGAAATGATAAAAATAGAGTTTCATTATTTTGTGATATTTAAATAAAAGTTTCCACTAGTGTAGTAGTGCTTCATCTGGGGTCGAGTTCAAGTTGCTTCAGCATCACCCCCTGAAGCTGGAGTTGTAAGTGTGAGTTGCAAGAGATGATTTTTTCATCGAGTACATTCGGCCAGCATTTCTCACCAACGAACCGCTACATAAAATCCAGCAAAGAAGACATGCATACCTCATTTGTTTCCGAGCCAGTTGCAATATAACCATCTGATACTGACAAACCCACGAAGTTCTGCAAAAAAGTACAAAAATATAGACAACAAAACGTATGATAACAAGTCAAAATTTCCTCATTAATACAATACAAAAGATTATATATCAGACTAGATAGCAAAAGTATTTCTACTTAGCATAATATTAAATTGCGAAGAATGGGTCTGTTACTCTCTTTATCACATCTTTCTTCTTCTTTATAACTTTTGGTTTCCAATTTGAACTATATCAGCGGTTTGGTTTTAGGCAAAACTAATTTAACTCAAAAAAGTACTTCTAAAACATTCTAGACAATTCAACACAAAGAACAGATGAATTTTTTATTTCATTATTCAGCATCACATTTACTAGCTTTATTTCTTTGCATTAATCCCCCAGCTTAAGGATTTCAAATCTGATATGTTGAGGCAGTACAAGAGATGATAGAGAAAGATAGCATATAATGATTACAATGGTCAGAAATTGTACAGGATTTTGCATTATTAGCATTGTTAATTTTCAGGAAGGACATAGTACTGTGCTTTCTAGGGCATAATTTCAAGAATGCAACTCAATTGACCAATGAAGCAGTTTAAAGTAATGAAAATTCTTAGAAAAAAGAAAGTTCAACTGCAGTTTTTACTCATCTATAGATCAAATTGACACATCTATGTATTGAGACATGAATAAAACTAAGTTCAAGTTCACCTTAATAAATATTAAAAATATGCAACCAAAATTTTGCAAAACTATCATTTAAACATTATATAAGTTATAAAATAAGGTAGTGATCCTAGCAAGATTTGGCAACTAAATTATCAGAATATTATGTTCCTTAGTTTATCCGAGAAATTTTTGTTGTGTTGCCTAGAAAACACCTAGGAGAAAGAAGAAGACCTTCACCAATTTCAAGACAAAATATATGAGTACCATCAATGCATGCTTTCCTACAGAAGAGCACTTCAGGAGCTAGATTCTTAATGATGAGTCGACAAGGGCGTCGACCGTTTGGGTGGGGGAGAATGTAGGAGAGTGACTAGTGGTCAAAGTCACTTGGATGTTAGAGTCCTTGTCCCGGCCCTTCATAGGTGCCCCTACGCCTATGGAAGGTGCCATTGGTTGTCTTATTATAATCTTGGTTGCCTCGATGTAATACTTGATATATAAATAAGAATTACCATTTTGCCCCCATGTGTAATGTTGTGTTATGTTTTGTTATGTGTTCCTTTGTGATGTTTGAATTGTTCTTATATTCGAACCCATATGATTATATATCGGTATTATGTTGTTCTAACGCCCATTATTGACTAACTGGTTTAATCATTTTATCATTTTTTATTGGTTCAATTTCATACTTTTGTTTAATGAAATTGAATTTGCAATAATTAACTTAAACTGAAGTTTCAACAATAGTACTTTTACCAACTCCCTTTTTTAATTTTTCTTTTCATATCAATTATTGTCATTACGAAGTATATACAAAAATGTATACTTTCATTATCATTATATTGTTATTTTCTAAATTAATTGTTATCAAATTACTAAAGAGTTATTTATGAAAAATGAAAATTGATAGAACATACACATTTTCATCATTGGTTCGTTCAAGAAAGAACATAATCAAACTAATTGGTTACTTAATTTTCTTTGTTCACCACATAATATTAAAATCTTAAGGCTATAAACATTCAACTATGCCCTTTCCAGCTATGTTGTTTTAAGGATAAATTATAGGGATAAAGCATGAAGTATTATCCATTTTGGAAAAGCCTTAAATTTTATAAGTTTTCAATGTACCCAGAAAATTTTAGCCAAAAAACTTAATGTACTGCTTCCCTCCATACTTAAATTATCTATATAATAGAGATAGCTTTTCATCATTTAAAGAGGATGATGTGGTCCCATGTATGTCTTTTTGGGTCCTTGATCAAGTGATTCCCCAAAAAAATTGATGTCAAATAAAGCATCTATCAGATAAAATCGGAGGCTAATGCTTTCCATTCAAATGGTGTAAATTATCTCAAATGCTCCAATGTGTTAATCATGCCCAAAGCAGTCAAATATAGCCATGACAAGTGAATAAGAAAGAAAGCAAAATGACAGTAACTTTTATCCTAAAGCATTCACATAAGAAGTCCTAATAAATACTTTCAGATTCTGGATATAAAGAGAAGCAAATGTACCTTTATGTTCATGTGGCCTGTGAATGATTGAAGGGGAGTATCAATAACCCGAGAGGTGCACATTGACAAATCCCAGAGCTTTAATGTGTTATCCGTGGATGCAGAAACAAGGTTTGTTGAGTCTACAAACCTCACATAACTCACAGTTTTATTGTGTCCAGTCAATGTGCATAAAGGAACTTTTAAGTTACGTAGGTCATAATAATAAATTCTATGATCAGCTGAACCAAAAGCGAGAGAACGGCTAGAATCCAATGGAAACTGAACAGAACAGACATTGGCCTTTGTTCTAATTGTACCAATACTTACTCCCTGCAGTAGCAACCCTCGTAAGAGGAACAACTTATCATATATCCAGAATTAATCATACACAATAAGAAATTAGATGACATTAGTACGTTTAGTTTCAAAGCTGACATCCACCAAGTGCAAAAATAGAATTGCCTGATTGATATTCCATAGCCTAACAGAACAGTCATCGCTCCCGCTAGCCAACATTGTTGGATCTGCTGATGAAAAGTCAACGGACCATACACGTCTCTCATGTTCTCTCATTTCACTTAGCACTTGACTTCTTGTGACATCCCACACCTGATCGTAAGCAACTGATTCAATATCAAGAGATGTAAAGATGAAAGCGAATGAAATATAAGGCCTGACGTACCTGCACCACTCCTTCAAAGTTACTTGAAGCAATCTGGCTTTTGATGTAACTGTTCCAACATAAACTGCTTAGTTTTGACCTACTTGCCATTTCAACAACAGGATAGTGGATATCACGATTTTCATTTATTATGGTATCACATTCAAATACTTTTATCTTTTTATTCACACCAGCTGTAGCAAAAAATTCTCCATCACGATCAAAACTAAGAGCGCACACTAGGTTTGAAGAGTTTAACAAATCCCCTTGTTTCAAATCAGCTTTAACTTTTAACTTATTGAAAGACAGGTACTTGCACAACCCTTCAAGAAATGGACTTATCCATCCACTCTGTCTACTCTCAATATGATGCTCTCTTGGTGCTGAGTTATTAATGGAGCTTCTCTCAGTAACAACAATAGATCCTCTCCCATCACTACTTATTGGGGAATGTCTAATGTAAGGTCTCCCTGATGGCCTTATTGGCCTGCATCTTGTCATAAAATATGCTGACTCTAGTTTCTTAAAGTTCTTCATCAATCGCGAACTTTTAGAAAGTAAACTTTTTTGAGTTTCTGTGATCATAACTAAGTTCTGACCATCATCTAGATTATCATCACACTCCTCTTCATTGACAATCTGAATGCCTGGTCGAAATCGTTTTCTTGAACCCAAGCTAGAGGATTCGTCATTATCAACAATACTCAATGGAGGGAGATTTGAAGCTAAATTATTATCCTTCGTTTTTTCTGGACATGAGCCACCCTTTTTCTTAAGAAACGTTCGATGCTTCATAACTTCTTCAATATCAGAACAAAGAAGAGAAAGTGTATCTTGTAACTTATCAGCAGCTTCCTGTTTCCTTTGCTGTGTCAGCAGTAGGAACTCCAGTAACAAATCCTGCTCCTCTATTCTCTCTCTAAGCTGTATTGCTGCTTCTCGCTCTTCCAAATTCTCTCTTGGTTCATTTAGAAACTCGCTCTCCAACAACTCACTGCCACACAAGACAAAAGGAAAATTTAAAGAACATGGTTTCATGATGAAGATAAATGAATGGAATTAGAAAAATACAGATTATATTACGAAGGTAGAAGATTGTCTTAAACGTAATATTTAAACTGCATCTGATTGAAAGGATTAACAGAGTCTTATTTGTTGTGTTGAAAATTGAAATTTGCAAGAGAGGTGAGAGAAGATTAGTGTGCTTAAGTCCTGAGATGAGCTTTTATCAAGTTATGCTTTTATCATCTTTTCAATTGATAAGAATAATAGTTTCTCGCAAAATCATCTATAACATTACTCATTGAGTTTTCTAATGTCTATTTAAAAGGTAACTTGAAAATATTTGTGCAGATGCCCACACAAGGAAGCAATTAAAAATACATGCCACATCTAAAAAGTGAAATAAAAAAAAAATGGGAATGAAGGAAACAAGTAGGAAATGCTTATTGACCTTGTTTTCGGCCGACTACTAGGCTCAGGGTGCAGTAACCATAAACAAAATGAAGCTTGTTTTGGCCACTTCAGTAGTAGTTGAGGAGGAAGAACTCGATGTCTTAGACTAGACATAGTTCTGCTCTTGTCTTCTCTTGAGCTGAATGGGCAGAACAACTGTTCAGGAGTAGAACTATATCATATGAGTGCAGACAGACAATCAAGCAGGCTCAAAAATTTTAATCCAGGCCATTAAATGGTAAAAGAAAGTCAAATCAATGCACAAAGGACTAACAACATCCTTTTTATTTGCATATTTTATGTAATGAGAAACAGAATATGTTCATTACAGACCTCGAATAGAAGAACTCCAAGTCTGTAGATGTCTGAAGCACAAGAGATTGGTGAACCAGTAACCTCTTCAGGACTAGTGTACCAACTACTCTCCACTTGCAATATTTGCTTCATTGGAAAGGGCTGCTTCTTTCCTTCTTCTTTTTCTTCCTGTTCAATGTTCCTCATACCACTGATTTTATCTTCTTCAGACTCTTCCACCACTGGTACATGTGTGCCATGACCTGAGCTTGATTGAATGCAGCTAGCTTCTGATAAAGCATTTGTTGGAGTAGGTACAGGCCGAAAATCATCAATTCCTGACCTACTTCTCTGCGGGAACATGTCATTAGGCAAGGGAGAAGATACATTTTTAGTCTCCAAGGCTTGGCTATTCGGTCCATCCTCTAAAGAATCCGACCCAGAATCAGAACAAGAAGCTGACTCGATAAACGAGACATGGTTAAATGATGTAATCACAAAGCAAGAAGGGCGAACATTATGAACAACAATTCCTTGTGAATGTGCTACATTCACAATCTCCACTATTTGCCTAAATATATGTAAACATTCAAATTCATCCACAGATCTTTCAGGTTTGTCCAACCATTGCCTCAAGCTAAAATCAGCCCATTCTATGGCTCGGGTGAAAACATCAACTGCAACTTCATCCTTGTATCCCCCAGACAAACCAACCTGGTTTTTGAGGTTATGACGCGCCAGCACAACCCTATCAAGCTCCTTCCTAAAACTAGAATCACGCGATACAGGTATTGAATTCCAGTCTGAGATTATGATGTTACTTAACCCCCTAGAATTATCAGACTTATGCCAGCCAGACTCAGATAAGTTCTCCATTATTATCCCCCTACGGCTGCATGAAGGCCAGAACAAAGACATCCAAAACATATAGAAATTCTCTGGTTTCTACTACACCTTCCCATTTCCAGTTCTACTTTCTTCAATCAAAACCTCATTTCCATTGCCAAGGAAAAGAAATCAACTTTTCATCAATTCAAAGCTCAATAATCAGCTTCTCCAATAGAAATGTTATCCCTGCCAGACATTAAAGCAAATAAGATGAACTCTTAGCATGTAAAGCTCTTCACATACAAGAACACAAACATATTATAGCTAATATAAAAAAATCTGGGCAAGTAGAGAGGAAAAAAAGAAAGAAAAAAGGAGGCACACTCATTTTTAACACAGACCTTTTATCTTCAATTTCTTCCTTTTTTTTTTTTAGTTTATTTTTTGTAATTCTGGTTCATGCATCAGAAGAATTATATAACATGATTCTTTTCATATTCACTTTAGACCATAAAACAACAAAAGCACTACGGCCACTACCACAACCAATCAAACAAAAACTATAATAAATATATCCAAAAAAAGAGAGAATTCAAGATACCTTTTGACAACACAGGATCGCAAACACACGTCTACTACTTTAATCACAAAATCAAAATAAAGAACCGGCACCAGCTAAACCCACCTATAACATATGCTAGAGAGAGGAGAGAGGAGAGAAGATAAACAAGTACCAGCAGAACCAAGAAATAATCTTTCTCTTCTTTCTTGCTGAATGAACCAACTTGAAAAGAGAACCACACAACAGAACAAGCTTTTAGTTGCAGTCTCTACAAAGAAGCATCACAGCCTCAAAATTTTCCTTTTATTTTTCCCAAGCTAAAAAAACCAAAGAAAACACCTCCACAGAAAAAAAAGAAGCCCACACCACTTCGTCCTTCAATAAAAACAACAAAAAGAGTTTTTCACTTCACTTTGTGTCTACGTCTGAGACTCTCTTTCTCTCTCCCCACCTCCACAGTGTACTAAATTATATTAGTTTCTCTTTGAAGCATAAGGTTCACTCTTTTGGCTCCTCTTTGTTATCTTCCCGCTTTATTCCCATGTAAGCAACGTGGCACCACCATAGCCTCAAAGCTTGTTTCAGACAGATGAAAAAGTGTAAAAAACTAAAAATAAAAACAAACCTGTGGGCCATGAGTTGCAAATTTTTTTTAAAAAAAACCCTAATGGTAAATAAATTATAGAATTGATATAGGCTTCCCCAACCAAAAAAAGCTTTGAACTTTAATCATCAGAATGTACAAAATTAATCATCCCTAAAAAGAAAAGACTAAGGTTTTTAGGTTTCAAAAAGAACACATTAAACTAAGCTAAATTTTGTGGTTAACATTCAAACACCACTCAAAGAACAATTAACAAATACTTAAAAAACTTGGATACTTAAAGTATATTCATTGTTTAATCACAGGATCTAATTTTTTAATAAATAGCAACTAATCAATTGATCCACATAAGAAAAACGACAAAGCAACACAGAACAACAATAATAATAATAAACTAATGGTAATTTTGTATGATTCTTACAAGAGATGCAGTGCGTCTGTGTATTGGTGGGTGTCTTTGATCCTTTTAAAATCGAAGAAGAGAGATAGAATTATAGTGAGATTAGTGATGTAAGTAAATGTAATTAATTAACAAAAAGAGGGTAGGTGGGTCCAATTCTCCAATGAGAGGAATACATGTTACACCTGATGTATATCTCTAGCTATTCAGCAAGCGAATCCGATAAAAACATCCGAGGCAAACAGAGGTGCAACTGGATTTCCATTAAAGAAAAGGGTGAAAAATGTAATAAATTGTGATATTTTTTTTTTTAAATGGTATTCATAGTCATAAATAAGAATGACTTACCTATCGCCCCAGCCATGAATTAAAATAATAAAAAATATTTTTTTCATTGAAATAAAAAAGAGAAAGAAAATTATTAATGGTGATAATTTTTTTTTAATTTCATGAATTAGCTTGGTAAATGGTTAAATTCAGGTGACAATTTTTTTTTTAAACAGTATATATAAATTGGCTTAATACACGGATATATATATAAAATCCTGACTAGCCATTTTTTGCTACTAGTAAATTATTACCATAATTGTATTATATTATATTATATATAAGTTGATTATGCAATAATGGTGGATGAAATTTTGGTATACCTAAACAAACTATCTTCAGCATTCAATAATTATTTTATTTTTCAAAATATTGGTAATATGATAAATTTAGCCAACTCAATCTAAACTATTTTCTCCTTCTATTGTTATTTCCCTTTTAAAGTTTTAGTTATTTTGTTTAATAGAGATAAGATTAAAATAAATAAAAAAATAATTAGTACTTTTTAATATTATCAAAATGATAAATAATTTTAGGAAAATAATTAGTTTTTTTATTAGTTAAATAATAAACATACAACAAGCGTATGTAGTTTTAGGAATAGGACAAACTCCTAACATAGCAATTTTATAAATTCAAAAACAATTAGTATTAGATTAAGATTAAGTTGTGTTTTTTGAAATGATTTCATCCATTAGTTCAAAAACATTCATTGAATTTGAAAGAAACTTTGGATTTTTTTTTTTTTTTTTTTTTTTTTTAATAATTTAGGAAAAATAATAGTTTTTATATTAGTCTAAATAATAAACTACAACAAGGACGTATGTAGTTTTAGGAATAGGACAAAACTCCTACATAGCAATTTTATAATTCCAAAAACAAATTTAGTTATTAGATTAAGATTTTAAGTTGTGTTTTTGAAATGGCATTTCATTCATTCTAAGTCAAAAACATTCATGAATTTGAAAGGAAACTTTGGATTTTTTTTTTTTTTTTTTTTTTTTTTGAATGGAGAAAAGGACTTTGGAAATTTGAATATTAGGTTTTTGGGGACCATACATAATAACAATTCATTTATGTATTTGCTTAATTAAATCAATTTCCCTCTAACAAAATGACAGAGTAATAAACTAATAGCATAATACTATTTTTTTTTTTTTTTTTTTTTTTTTTTGAATGGAAAAGACTTTGGAATTTGAAATTTAGGTTTGGGGACATAATAATAACATTCATTATGTATTTGCTTAATTAAATCATTCCCTCTAACAAATCTGACAGAGTAATAAAATAGCATAATACTATATTAATGCCAAGCCAAAATCAGTAACCTAATTATGAGAAACGGTATCGTATTAATTGATAATAGTACGACACGTTCTGAATTAAAAAAATGGTGCATCGTATAAAGGTTGCCACTTTGTTATCCTACAGGTTTATTCAATAAGGATTTACAGTTTGATGAACCAAATTATTAACTGCTTACCAATTCCTTAGCAAACCATTACCAAGACGTTCACCAACTAGTAGAGTCAATCTTCAATTTCAATCGAGCAGAGGTCAAGCACTAAGTTGAAGCTTAATTAAGTACTTAATGATTCTAATTTCATCATATATAATATTTTTACATCCGTGCAAACTGAAGCTCAACCTTGAAAATTAAACTAAAAAACTCGAATCAAGCCTTGTGTTTTCTAATAAAGTCACAGCTCAAGCTCAACTACACACCTAACCTCTACAACAGTACCTGTAAATTAAAACCATTTCAAAAAGTACCATCTACTGCATATACAGATGGGAAGAAATTGTCACCAAGAATCACATCAACTGCGAGATAGAGCACTTTCACCATCATCCAGCCATAACTATAGTCTTCGTCAACCATAAAGAAATTAAGAATAAAGGGAGGAAGCTCCTCTTCAGCTGGAGCTTGACGAGCATGGTGCGTGCAAGATTTCTTTCTTTAACACCATAAAATAATGTCATATTTTCCAAATACTCTACAGCTTATGACTAATAAAAATGCTCTACAAGAATGGCCCATAGTTCAGAAATTGCTGTGGAAGAGTGAAAAGTAAATACACATGATAAATTGCAGAGGGGAGAGAATTTTCAATGAGCTATATGCCACTAGCTATTCTTTCTAAGAACAACCCCTATACAAAAAACCCCATCTAACAATTTAACTCTATTTAACGAAAGAAAAATCACCAGCCAACTTATTCTGCATGATCTTCCTCACATTACTTCTCACTTGGGGAGTTTAATCATAATCAACGGCCAGAAACGAATATTGAATTGGTTGATATTTGGTTCCCTTCAACCTGAACTTTTCTGACCTTTGCTTTGTCAATTCGGGCTCTTCTAACAGCTTCTTGGATCTGGCGATCATGATCCTTCAGCATCTGATCCACGTTGCCAGATGGAAGTAGCAAAGGACCAGAATAATGAATTTTGTGACCCTTTGATCCATAGCCAACCTGACAAATGCATAAATAATTAAAAGGAATCACAAATCAATCGGCCACCAAAAAACATTCAAGTATATTGTGCATAGTCACTTAGGAAACAGAGAGAATAAATTTAGATGAGAATAATCCAATGGAAAAACTCAGGAAGAGAAATGAACAAGAACATTAACTACTTACAAGGATTGGATCATTATTGCCTATTCTTCCATCTTCTTTTTGATGAGAACCTGCAACCCCCTGACAGTGATGTTTCTGATCCTGCTGAACAAAAGAATCTGATGATTCCTTGAAGGATCCTGGGAACCTCGCCATTAGTTTTGGAACGTCTTGCTGTGATGTGCCAGACCTTTCTCTGCGGTCTTCAGATAATAAACTCCTCTTTGCTGCCACAAAGCCTGACATTGTTGACACGTCAGTCCCAGACAAAACCTTTGGAGCATCCTCTGTATTTCTACCGGCCTTTGCCCAAGCAGCACGGTGAGCTAATGGCCCAGAATGGGAGGCTCTCTTATGCTGATGCCCCTGTGGATCCATACTTGATTCTGCAGCTTGTGATGGTCTAGGTGGATCAATTGGAAAACCAGAAGCTTCTTCTTCTGGGCGAGGATTAAACTTCTCACTCCGGCTTTTAGAATTTGACTGGCCTTGTCTTTTCTGTGATAAGAAAGCAGTCTCATTTACATACACAAATTATAGAAACCAAAACAACAAAATAAAGAGACAAACAGGAAACATAATTCTATAGCAAGACATTAAATTTTTTCATCAATCATGACACACATATTTGAAGTCTTGGAATCACAGTTCTTCCAATCCACCCACCCATCCAAGTTTTATATATCAGCTGTTGCTTAGTGTACAAACTAATGGTAACAGTGAATCATTGAGATCGTGACAAACTGACAACTGGTACCATAATTCTTCTAAACAAATTCACAAGAGCACTGACCATGACCATTATGCTTGGCCAATAGTGACACAATGTTTACACCGAGAATTGAAACCTGGCACACTCACAACCCCTCTCCAATGAAACTCAGTTAGGAAAACTTATGTACAAGGAGCAATTGGAGGTAATAACAAGAGTACAATATGAAGTGTTCTGGTGTTATGCCTTATGCACCAACTTGGTTACTTATTTTTTGGAGAATTCACCATCAAGAGCTAGCTCCATTTTCTCCCAACCCACTAGGTCTTTCTCTTAACCTTCTAGATCTTTCTTTCCCTTATTCTTGCTGTTAGTGGATCCTTAAGCTCCAGCATACACCAGGGCCATGACCCAACAAGCCAAAATTACCTCCTAAACATAATCCTGTATATGTATGGAATGAGTGTATGAAGATTTACCTGCATTGACAAGACCAACTCAGCATTGGCATCAGGTGCTGGGACGGCTCGAGATTCTCTCATTCCTTTTCTTTCAATATCAGGTCTCTGGCCCTTGCTTCCTGCTGCCCCTTGTCTGTTAATATACACAAAAGCAAGATTATCAGCAATACCATCTTAACAGTTAATCACCTCAGTGATAGAATTGCAGAATAACAGATCACTAGCTCATCAAGTAAACCAATACAAACCAACACCACAATCGGTCAGGCCAACATAGCCTAATTTAATCACAAAATAACATCAGCAGCAGCCAACCTGTAGTATTTACAGTGCCACAGTCTAGCTAACTAAAGCTGGATCCTGCTTACTCCAAGGAGAGGGAGGCAACCTCTTACATTTCAACAATAACATGAAGCACAATGGCTAAGATGCAAAAATTGAAGTTTCTTTTGGGTCATCCAATTAGGGTTATGATGTGTTCACAAACTGTACCTGATAACATCTCCTATTTTTCTATAATTCTTACCTTCTAGCTTCCTCATCCCGCATTTTTGCATCGAACTCTTTGCTAGGAGGATACTTGGGCAGGCTTGAAGGATCACAAGGTAGTGGTTTTATTGTAAAGAACTGCAAAACATAAATTAAACAAGTCAAGGACACTCAACAATAAACTAACAAAATGATAATAGAATGAGACTACAGAACTATGAGTACGCAAGTATGTGTTCATAACTGCATATCAAAGCAGGAACATAAAGATATTGTTCTCAGACTAACATGAAAGTCCATTGTGGCCACAACTTTCTAACATAGAACAAAGCACAGCCTAAAAGGATTTCCAGTCTAGACAACCCACTGATATTTTATCTACCAAAAGCATAAAATTTATGATGTTGAATCTTTATAAGCTATCATCCAAGGCTCGTGCTATTTCCACAGCCAGTTTCACCAAGGCCAAAGCTAATTCCTTGAGTAAGATGTTAAGGTATCTTTGGTACATGGAACTGAATTAAATGGAATAAGGAAAGTAATGAGGAATGAAATGGATTGAGAATGGGAATAGGTAGTCTTATTCCTATGTTTGCTACGAAGCACAGAATTTTGGTTCCATTACTTTGTTTGACTGCAGTAATGAGGTAAGGAATGGAATTGAAAAATCAGTAACAACTGCTATAGTTCCCAATGCCAACCTTTACCAGAAGACCCATATACCCAAGCAAAACTGCCTATTACTAGCAGTAAAAAGGAGGAAAACAAAAGGAAGCCATCATGTTGGAGAATTTCCAAATAACTTTCCCATCTTTATTTAATACCTCGCTCTTCAGAGCAGAAGCTGCAGTCCCACGATCTGCAGGGTCAATAGAGAGTAGGGTCTCCATGAGTGCTAAAGCCGGTGCAGGAAATTCCTTAAATGTTTCTGCAACACAACGTCTGTAAGGCTGTTGAGGCTTGAATATAGTTGCATGAGGCAATTTTGATTTTCTCCAATAATCTTCAGAAGGAGAGCCACATAGCTTGAAAATTTTATGCAGCTGCTCCACCTGTAAGGCAGAAATATGCAAATAACTCGGCAATAATTCTATAACAAAACACTGTGATATAAAGAGTTCAGGCATGCTGAACATAGAGAAGCACAAAGAAAATATACTTCACAAGATAACCATATCTTACTCTTTTTTTTTTCCCTTCCTTTTCCTTTAGTTGTCTCCCTTTTATGTTTTTAAATTTGAAAAAAAAATAAAACAAAGAAAAGGAAATGAAATGAAATGAAAGAGAAAATGCAAAGGACTGAATTTTTTTTTTTTTTTTTTTTTTTTTTTTTTACTCTTTTTTTTTTTCCCTTTCCTTTTCCCTTTAAGTTGTCTCCCTTTATGTTTTTAAATTTTTGTAAAAAAAAATAAAAAACAAAGAAAAGGAAATGAAATGAAATGAAAGAGAAAATGCAAAGGACTGAATTTATTTTTTTTTTTTTTTTTTTTTGTTTATCATTACACTCTTGCAAAAGTGAAAAAAAAAAAAAAAAAGAATAGATGGTTATCTATTTTAAACCCTCAAGGCTTTAATGGTGCGGGGTATCTATATGTTTAATATGTAGAAAGATAGGAGATACTTCCACTGAAAATCTTTTAAAAATTGTTTTTGGCCAAATAGGTGTTAATTGACCACCAAAAGACTAACTTTGACTTCCTTTGAACTTCTTTCCTGAAATCCTTAAAATCGCTCTTGTGTAAGGTTGGCACTCTTTGTTGCCTGTAGTAACCTTTCTTGCAAAAGGAAAAAAAAAAAAAAAAGAATAGATGGTATCTATTTAAACCCTCAGGCCTTAATGGGGTATCTATATGTTTTAAATGTAAAAGATAGGGAGATACTTCCACTGATCTTTTAAAAATTGTTTTGGCCAAAGGTTAATTGACACCAAAAACTAACTTTGACTTCTTTGAACTTCTTTCCTGTAAATCCTCTCGCTCTTGTGTAAGGTTGGCACTCTTTGTTGCTGTAGTAACCTCTTATTCTGTGAAGTTGACTCACATCAAAGCAAGGAAGTACATCAAATCATATTGAAAAGCAAGCTTTTGCAAGATATGGAGAACTAGATTCTTCAAGATTCCAAATCTATCCTGACACTAACATTACTTTTAATTGGTGCTATGCTTCCCGTCAAAGTTAAAACATTTTACTCCCTAAGCTAAACCTACTGCCAGCTTAACAGCCTTTTAGCTGAATCATTAAACCTATAAAGGGTGGATGAAGCAGGGCAGGTGAGAGAGAGAGAGAGAGAGAGAGAGAGGTGGCAGCATGGAAACTGAAGAACAGCCCAACAAGGCCCATGGAATCACCGTCTGTGTTACTTAACTCTACATCAACTCTTGGACTCATTATTTCAAGCTTGGGGCAGATGCTATAAAATGAATGGTGGATGAACCTGAGCAGGTGAGAAAAGAGAGAGAGAGCTAGGGAGTGGGAGTGATGTCACTGTGGTAAATTCTATCTGAATTTTTTTTTAAAACAAATAATCACAATTCAACTGCACAACAAAAGAAAGAGGCCATCCTAGAGAAAGACATTCAATAACGAATATCAGCTAATCATTTCAACCATCGGAAATCTGAGAGCATATCTTGCATGAAAAACTAAAAGTGGAAAAGCTAGCCCATAACTCTCATTAAAGATTTCGCTAATCAGTCAATACCATGGACTCATGCAAATTCTGTTGTTTTAAATAGTACCATATCATATCATCATTAGACACAGTTACTAATATAATTCAGACGCAGTAAATAATATAGAAATCCAGTATGAATTACACCCAATGTGCAATAATTTGCAAAACAGCCTAATGTCTCAATTAATCAGCACACAAAGGGAAAAAGGTCCTGTGGAGAACCACAGAAAACAATTATTTCCAAATAACAGAAGGAAACAAGAAACAGAAGAAAAAATACCTCGGTTCTTCCAGGCATAATAGGCTTTCCAGCATATAATTCAGCAAGTATGCAACCTGTACTCCATAAATCAACAGCAGTCCCATAGTAGGTGGCCCCAAGAAGAAGCTCCGGAGGACGGTACCAAAGTGTTACAACACGGCTTGTGAGTGGTTGGATATGAGTAGGATCATAAAAACTTGCTAGACCAAAGTCTGCAATTTTTAATATACCATTATTGTCAATTAATAGGTTGGAGCCTTTAATGTCACGGTGCAGAACACCACGGCTGTGGCAATGATCAAGTCCTTGTAAAAGTTGTTGCATGTAACATTTCACCTGCCAAAATACACACAAATTAGACTGCATAAAAAGCCAACATACATACGAATAAAACAATGCTTGATGACTTTAAAGTTACCTGTGCTTCTGTAAACTTCAGACCAGGATGTGAGGCAAGCCCAGCCAAATCATGCTCCATGTACTCAAATACAAGGTACAAACTGCAAGACATCCTGGATGTAACTAGACCCTCTAATTTTATTACATTAGTGTGGTCAAGCCTGCGCAATATATGAATCTCCCTGGCCATGAAACGAACACTCTCAGGTTCCAAGTTATCAAATCTTACTTTCTTCAAAGCAACAATCTTCTTTTGGTCAAGATCACGAGCTCTATAAACATTACTGTAAGTCCCCTGGCCAATCTGCATAAAGATAAACTTCAATAAATGGAGAATGAAAAACAACCATATAAGGTCAACCTCAGTATGACGAACCATTCTACTAGCACCAATAAGATCTCAACTCAACAGAATGGTCTGGTGTTTTCGAGTACTTAGAGAACGGACAACTAAAAGTCCAGGCATTAAAACCAAAATTTGGATAAAAACAATTCTTCCCCTGGCTCATCTTGCCCTGGCTCATATGGTACGAAGGTAGGAGGGAATGATATTGTCAAGCATATTAAATCAACCTACTACATGAAACTTACCTGACCCTTCAGGATGCAAGCTTCGAATGCAAATGTTCCCTAACTTAATCAAATAAAAATTGTGTGACAAATAGAACATACTTTCAACAACTTATAAAGTGGTCAACAAAAGACTTTCCATTTTCAATTCTAAGTAGAAGTGTTGAAAGTACTTGCAAAAAACGTGGTTGAGAAATTACCATGCAGATTTGAAGCCTTTAAGCACCATCAAGTTCTTATTGCTAGTTGCATAAAAATAAAAAATCCTACTTTTAATGTAAATTATGTTTTGCAAGTCATTCAACACTCAAACCCAAATCAACCATGGTTTTAGAAGTCAGTAACTTTTCGAAAAACCACCTTGCCCAGTTATAACTGCACATTGCATCTGTGGAAATTTTAATTTGGCATTTTGTTATTCACTTTTTCCACCAGCCGTTTAGCAGAAAGGAAAAACTCCTACAATTTAAACATATTGAATGTAAAGGAATTCTAGTTCGATTATTTCCAGCCTATGTCAATGAAATGCCATAAAATCTAACACCATAAACCCATCCAACAAGCCCGCACTCATGATCAAGAAAGGACATATCTTGAGGCAGCACTTATTCCAATAGGTTCTCATTCTATCTTGTAAACAGCATAAAATTTGCAACCTTACAAAAATTTATTGCAATTTCAAGAGATTTCTTTCATCAGTCAGTTTTGGAAACTACCACAATTGTATCATCAGATTTAGAGAAGCATTTATTTGAAATAAAACTCTCAGTGTCTTTCTAATGGATATTTTCAATTAAGTTAATTAAAAAGATTCATGTTGATTTATGCATGACCATGATTTTAATCATATACAATGAATGTTAACTTAACAAACAAGATAAGGGGAAAAAGAAAAAAACGTACTTTATCCAGCTTCTCAAAAGAATCCGCACGCCGAGGCAGCCATCCTTTGATTGCTTCTCCAGCCACTGCTGCTAGCCAGGAAGGCCATCCGGCTGCAACCTGCTCCCCTTCAGTTGCTTTTGGTATGGTACCCATCCCAGGATGTTGAGCGACAGCATATTCCATCTTCTCCCTCTTCCTCTCTGCATTCTCACTTCCATGCAATCTAACTGAACCATTTGAGTGCTTATCAATCAGCATTGCCCTTCCATCATTACTGTCATATCGATCCTTCACTCTATATGCTTCCTCCCTCCTCGATGAGGTGGCCCTCGATACTCGCAAGTCTGCTGAGACCTTGCTGGAGAGCCTCTCTCTGGGGCTCTCTTTGCTATCTTCAATTGCAGAGGGTTTACAGCAAACGCAACCCATTACGCACAAAAACCACCTCCAACAACTCCTTGCTTTATAATCAATAATTACCCTTCAAATTTCTCATTTTCATAATTCTAAACTCTTCTTCCTTTCCCACTTCCATCAAACACAACCAAAGAACATTCCCTAGATAAATGACGGAAAGGATCTAACCTATATAACTCAAAATTCTGTCAATCCCATTTGTTTTCGGCCAAAGCAACCAAAAACGAGTCTAACAAAACTCACTAAAAGATTAAAACTTTTTAAGTACCAACACTGGAAACTCCAGCAAAATCTCAATAAAGACTAATTTCCTACTCTGCAATTTTCAATCTTTTATCAAATCCACTAACCTAAATTCCCCTAATGAGAACAATTTCACCACCACCAACAGTACCAAAACCTTATCTCCTCCTCAATGAACTCCAACCAACAAAACCACCAAAATCTTTATAATAATTAACAATCACCACCTTAAAAAAATAATAACGAAAATGCGTGCTGTTTGCTATGAAATGCCAATAAAACGCATAATTTCACATCCACCAAAATCCCTAAATCCACAAAAAAATTCAAAATGAGAAAAACACTAGAAACCCACACTCAACAAAGTATATACCTTAAAAGAAGTAACACAATAAACAGTAATGGTAGTACGTTTCTGAAACTGAAAACCCAAGAGAGAGAAAGCTAGGGTTTGCAGAAAGGGAAAGAAGGAGAGATCTAAAGCACAGAGATTTCACTATATGAGTCTAGCAGTGCAGAGAGTAATAAGTACACAGAACATGAGGGGAAAATTAATTATAATAAAATAAAATAAAAATAAGAAAGATTCAGTTGGGGAGTGTAAGTGGGAAGAATATGAACATATAGGGTTAAGTTTTTTGATAGAGCCAGTTTTGTTAAAGACCAAAACACCCTTTTCAGAAGGTAGTAATAAACAGTACTTATAAAGCAAGTCTTTTTACATCTTCACCTTTAAAGTTTTATCTGCCAGAGTAGACAATTAATGGGTATTACTCTTTCCACTGCCATTGTTCTTTGCTTGATGATACCTCTCTCTTCAATTAACTTTTCCCTCTTTTAGCTTGTGCACTTTCCTTCCTTATAGTATGCGTTTAGATATTGTTCGACAAAATTCCTGAACCATACTCTCTTATTACTATGACAAATTGCCAACCCATTTCTTTGTATCGCCATTTCTTCGGCTGATTAAGACATAGTTCTTTTCCCTTAAATCTTTTTGAAGTGTATGGCTTTGCTTTGCACTTTTTTGCGGTGAAGGAGACTGCTGATTATCTGCTGGAGTTTGTTGACACGAAAAATTGAAATGTTGGGTTTGCTAGAAGGTGTAAAAAGGATTGGGAAAGTGAGGAAGAAGCCTAGATTTTGGAGTTAATGGAAAATTCAGAGAAATCAGAGGCGTTTCCAAACAAGAAGCAGGTAATTGATGCTGGTGAAGGTAGTATTGTTATTATTTAATGATATTTATTGTCGCAGCGCGTAGTTATAATGCTAAGGGGCAGCTTTTTGTAACACGAGGAGTAGAAGAAAAGGAGACCCCATTTCTTTTGAAACATTATTCAATTTCTTGTGGCTTTATTTTGTTTTATTTTATTGGTGTTTTCAAAATAATAATTTTAATTGATTTAATTAAAATTATCTAAAAAATGACTTAATATGATTGTCCATTTTAATTAATTAATCCAATTAATATGATTTCTCTAAAATAATATGATTATCCATTTTAATTAATTTATTTATTTAATATAATTTATTTAAAAAATTTAACAATTGTGATTAATAAAATAATAAATATATATTAGCTTGAAGAATTGTATGAATATTATAATTTTATTTAATTTAACATATTTAATTTACCTTCCTAATATTTATAGTAATAATAATAATATAGGTAAATAACATATACAGATGTAGGAAGGGAATATTGAATTTACTAAAATAGATTTAGTGAAATTTTAATATCCTACAATATTTTTTGACATGATAAGTAAATATTTTGATTTTAAAAATATAAAGTCCGCACAATTTTATTCTTAAATTAAAGTCTCATCTCTAAACTCTAGAACGCGTCTTACTAGTTTAAGACTTGTTCATTTTCATGTACGTCATTTTCACTTTATATTCAATTAATGTGAGATTCATTTAGAGGGCAAGGGTTAATAAGTGCGTATAATCAAAGAACAAAAGGGGAAAATGATAATGAAACACGTAGATTATTATTTATTAGCTTTGTTATTTATTGGGTTTTGTTTATTTTCAAGTTGCTTTTTGGTTTTATCAAACCAAAATTGAAGACTTACGTATTTTCAATCTGATTTCTGTGCTTTATATATTTTCAAATCTTTTATGTTTTTTAAGTGATTTAAGGTGCATTTGTTTTTAAAAAATAACTTATTAGAAAATAACATTCGTGAAAAATCTTTTAAAAGAAAACACATAATTTTTCAGCGTTTGGCTCTACATATAATTTTTAAAAAAAATATTTTTCTAACATTTAATATAACATTAAAAATTTTATTTTTTCATCATATAAATAATGCATTTACACCTATTATATTATTCATAAGCAATCTATATTAAAGAGAAATATTATAATTAGATTTCTATTTAAAATGCATTTTCATAGTATAAATAATATAATGATGATTAATTTAGTCTAATAATGTGATTTTAATTTTTTAAATTAAATTATTTAACAATATAGTGTATATCATGTTAAGATAATTTAATAATATACAAATACCATAATTACTTTCAAATATATTGATAAAATATATTTTAAATGGTATGATCCTCAACATATTTTAAAAAATATATTGTTAAAATAATTTAATGATTATTTTAAAATAATCATGTTGCAAAATGTATAATGTAAAATATATTTTAAATGGCATGGACCTATTAATAAATTATTTTAAATATTTCTGCCAAAAAAAACCACTTAGACACATTTTTGACACTTCTAAAGAAATTGCGAGCTCATAATTGCACATCTTCCACAGGTGGTGTCATGGCCCTTGACATGGCTGAATATTGTCCGCTTTGGACCCTTCCGTACGAGGTCACCCTCACGGTTTTTGTTCTTGGGGGAAATGAGAAACTTCCTAGACACAATTTTTTGAAACACTTCCTAAAGAAATTGCCGAGCCATTTCATAAATTGCACATCTTCCCAACAGGTGTGTCAATGGCCCTTGACATGGCTTGAATTTGTCGCGCTTTGGACCCTTCCCGTACGAAGGTCCACCCCTCAGCGGTTTTTTTTGTTCTTGGGGGAAATGAGAAACTTCCAGGAGGTCACCATCCTAGGATTTTTCCGTTAAGCGAGCAGGGGTGGGGGAGGCGGGTGGGGGGGGGGGGTGGGCGGAGCGGGGGGGGGGGGAGGAGGGGGAGGGCGCTTAAACCTTGGAGTTCTTCCACTATCGCCACCCATTTCACGCACCAAAACGCATCCAACCATTCAAGCCACCAACCCCTCCTTAATGTACAATCACTTACTCCTAGCCACACCATTCAAGGCACCACCCCTCTTATGTACATCACTTACTCCTCGCACTTAACCGATGTGGGATTCGCCTAGGTGCACTGTAGGCTTAGATCCCTCACAAGTGGACTATTCTTTAATGAAACAAAAAGACTAGTTTTAAATTATAAAATAAGTTAGAAAAATATTTTCTCATATAAATAAGGATAAGTTATTTTTCTTGAATGCCAACTTGTTTTTCATAAATGTTTTCTCATAGACTAGTTTTACTCAATACATTTGTTAGGTGAGAGATAATTACGATACTATGATTAATGATAAAGTTTGATTACTATTGGTTTGGCAGTTGAATGATTATTTTCCAGCCTTTTTTATTTACTGATTTTTATGAATTTTATATTGATTTTGGACATCATCCATATAGTGGGTCCACAAATATTGATGTTAGCTTGATTAATTTGTTTGGGCAGATTTGAGTTTTTTGTAGATATTCATGATGAGAAGAAAAGGTATCATCTTTTTAGATTCCATTGACCATTTTCTATTCATCATCTGTTAAAAAAAATATAAGTAGTTTAAGATTTTTATATAATAATTAAAATTTTAATTAATTTTTTTAAATTATAATAAATTTAAGAGTAATTTGATTAAATTATTTTTTATTTCAAAATCAATAATTATTTGTAAAGTATTTAATATATTTACTGTAAATAAGGACAACATTGTATTACTTCTTCAAATATACAGAACGACATAACAAACCAACAATATTTTGGAACTGAGTACATTTTCTAGGCATTTTTGAGAAATTTTAGAGAGGGATAAGCATCATTAACGGTTTTGTCTTCTTTTTTTTTTTTCGTTTTCAATTTAGTTTTAACTTAATTTGCTGGTGAGTTCAGTTTGATTTTTATGATTTTAGATGTTTGAATTTTATATAATAAGAATGAAATTAAATAAAGGAAAATAATTATTTATTAAAATTAAAATCAGATCAAAATGCAATTAATGAAACCCTTTCAATTAAGTAGATTTTACCAACCCTTTTAATTAATGATTTTGTCAAGAAACCAAAGAATATTGAAATATAAGACAAAGCTTCTTAATGTTTCGGTTTAGTTTTAATTTGATTTACATATCAACTCAGTTTCATTTATAAGATTTTATATTTTTAAAGTTTATATAATAAGAATGAAATTAAATAAAATAAAATGATTTTTTTATTAAAATTAAAATCAAATCAAAGTTTTTAAAAATCCAATGCATTCATTTCAATTAGGTGGATTTTACCATATTCTGTTTAACCTTATTTCCATATACTATATTCGTTCTATAATACTTATCACATTTGTGATTTTAAAAACTAATAAATTCTTTTTTTCCATGTTTATCTTATCAATATAATTAATAATTATTACTTCAATTTAATCGAAACTTTTTTTTCATCCTAATGCAGAGATTGATTCTCTATTCTGACTCATTTTCTTAGAACTAGTATTTAATTAAAAATAAATTAATTAATTTATTTAATTAATTTCTAACATGCACGAAGCATACACACACTCATGCATTAAGCATATACCTTCAAAGCCCTTCAAAGAAGGCATATCGAACTACGTTGACTTTGATCTTCCATAATGATTTTCTGTAAAATTTTAAATATAATAAATATTATGAAACATATAATAACACCTCTCTTATTAGTTATTATCCAACAGCTGTCCATATCCAATATTAGTGATAAACATTTTATCCGCATGACGAGGCATACATGAAATTTATGGCAGTGTCTTCACTCTTTGAGACAAAGAAATAGGTAATTGGGTCCCACCTAAAACATCGGCAAGCTTCTTAGTTTTGGACCATATATTTCATAATGTTTCCATTTGGCTCAACACCATTTCATAATGCATTTTAGTTACCAACTGTGTTATTACGTGGATTTAAAAAAAGATAGTTCTTTTTTTCTATTTAGTTTGTCTCGTACTTCACTTTTTACACAATAATTAATCATTAAATTATTTATTATACTCGTATTAAATTTTATTTTATTTTTAATAATTCTCAGTAATTTTTATTTATTATTTCAATGTATTAATTGTTCGCGTGTTATTTAAGATAAGTATAATATGAAATTATATGAATAAAATTATCCTTTAATCATAATAATTACTACTTTCTTAATCTGTATGAAAATAAAAAGTGAACTATCTTTTTAGTTACCTTTAAGGCTTTTGACACTAACAAACAGTCACCTTTCACTTCCGGGATTAAGAAAGTTAATTAATGCTCCAAATATTATAAAAATAGATAACAAAATCCATATACTTTTAAGGCTTAGTTATTGTTATTCATTTTTTTAAACGTGGTTTAGTCTTCCTAAAACTTCCATTAATATCTAATTGAGTTAAAATTTATTGAGAATAGATAACACTCTGTTTAGAGTAGATTTATAATTATTGTGGATAATAGGTTTAATAAGGATATATTAGGAAAAAAAATTAAATATTATGTTGGAATGACAAATGGCAAATAATTTAAAATTTAAGGAAAACCAAAAAGAGGATAGAAATTTAGCAACGGAGGAAGTATTCCGTAGTGGAAGAATTTGGGGAAAGCTATAAATTAACTATTTAATTAGTTATTGGACTTAGAATGACAGAAAAAGACATTAGTTATTTAATTAGCTAAATTCGAATGGAAAAAAACAATAGACATGATTGTGAAAAAAAAAAAATTAATGAAAAATTAAATGTTAAACTTTAAACTCTAAAAACTAAAAGTTATAGTGTTTGATTTTTTATAAAAAGTTCAACTCCTACAAATTACTGTAAAAGCTATATTACCGAATTCTAAAATTAATAGAGTTAGAGTATTGACTTAGTAAAAAAGCTAAAAGTTATGTCAAAAGCTATTGCTGGACAGAGCTACAGTATTAAAGCCTTGACATAAATACTACCTTTATTGTATTATACCATATGTTGCAATTACACTCTATAGTCTAATATTGTGTTTGAAAACAACTTTTTAAGTAGCGTTAAAAGTTTTGAAACGCTATTCGGTAACGTATTGTTTTGACTAACTTTTAGAGATTATGTTAGCGTTTTGTGAAAAGCTAAATTATGTAACATTTAATTTTTAGTATTTTATGAAAAACTATTCAAATAATTATCAGCTAAACGCTACTAAAACAGTCAATAGCTATTAAAGAACTAATTTTATAGAGCAAACCCTAATGGAAAAAAAATATCTCATTACTTATTAGAATGAAAACTTTATTTTAATAATTCTTAATGAAAAATTAGTAATATCTTTATTAATAATTAACTATCAAAGCTTCAAGCATGCAATATATATAAAATTAATTTATTCAAGTACTTGTACGAAGGTGGGTCTCCATAGGTCCAAAGGTTTTATGACTGTATGTGAAGTGTAACACATGGGCCCAAGCTAACATGATGGACCACTCTTCAGCCTCGGCAATTCACTAATGTTTCTTCACTTGTCATTCAATGTATCTATTTTCGGCTCGTGAAAAATAATAATTCATTGTGGAAAATATTTCCACATAAAAATACATATTTTAAAAAATATACTTATCAAAAAAAAATTATTCTTGTTATTTGATTATATATTAAAATTAATTGAAAAATATTAAAACTTTTAATTAATTAATGACACACATCCACATTGATCATTTATACCATTTTTTAAAATTAAATTGAAATTTTAAAATGCATAATTTATATAACGAGATTTACTAAAAATTTTACGTTTGATTTTCATAAAAATTTATTATTTTTAATTTTTTTTATTTCGTTGTTCAAGTTCTTATTAGCATCTGGTTTAAAATTATAAGAATAAATCATAAGATATTGAGCTTAAATCTTATTAAAAATCAATATTTTTATCTGTTAACTTTTAATTTAAAAGGGATAATGAATGAATTTTCTTGATATCCTAAAAAATAAATCAGGACTGTATATTCAAATTATAATAAGCATTATAGTATTTCTTTTTTATTACAATTGTATACGAAGATAGAAAGTGCATTATTTTATTTTCTCCTACTGTCTAATTTCACTCGTATGATTGGGCTAAAGCCCACTGTAAACTTGTAGTTGGGCCGATTGATTCCTCCACATGCTTCTTTGAAAGGAAATTAAATTATGATGTTCTTAAAAATTATTAAGTTTTTATAATTTAATGAAATATGTTAGTTAAATTTTTTTATTTTTAAAATTTTTTTGGATGATTATTTTATTTGATTATTATTTAATTAAATATTATTTTATTGATAGATGAATTTTGATAAAAAAAAACTTTAATATTTTTTACGTATATTAAAAAGAAAAAGATTGATAGAAAGGAAAGGTTAGTGGTGGACTTTTATACAACACACCAGCTGAAAGAAAAAGAAATAAATAAATTATAAAAAAGCAAAAAGGAAAAATTGTACTACAGGATGTCTCATGGCCAATGATTTATCTTTTTGAAACAAAAATTTGTGATATGTCTTTATGGTTGGTTGATATAATAACATTGTTGCAATTTTAGTTGGGATACATCACAAATTATTAAGGCAAATACATTTTTTCTACATACTTTTGATCGAAGGGAAGCGGATTGCATCTCTAAATAAATTTTATTCGTAAAATTATAAATTTAAAATATAAAATTATTATTTATTATATTGTAATTGTGTTAAGTTTGTTCTGCAACTGATAATACATTTTTCTTTTAAATAATGACTGATGCAAAGAAAAAATTTTAAATAATAATACTTGTAATTATGTTAAATTTGATTAAATTGCCACACTTTTTAAATAATAATAATAACTGATAATATCTTTTAAATAGTGATCGATAAAAAAAAACCAAGTTAAAGAAAAATTAATTAAATATTTATCAAGAAAAAGCAATACCAAACTTGGTGTTGATAGTGTGGTGACCCATGAGAGTCAAATCAACCAATCAAATCTTTCTCAAATTGAAGACATAAAACTACTTTCTAATAAAGAAATCAATCAATAATAGTTGGTATACATTCTAGATCTTCCCAAATAATAATTAAATGTGACAAGATTACCTGCTAAACTATGCTAATTAATAGTTAGATCAGCATTAATTACTTGATTTTACTATTTATAGTTCACTTATCTTTGAATATGGGCTCTCATATATAATCAGTGTCCACATGCTTGTGATATGCACAATTTTAATTAATATTAATTTTTATCATTTAAGTTTAATTTTAGTATTTCACTTTTTATTAAATTCTTTTCTAATATTCATATAATTTTCTTTATGAAAAAATAATTTTAAAACTTGTAAAATTTAAATTTATGATATTAATTTTTTTATTTTAAATGATAAAAAAACACCATGATAGAAATAATAAATGACAATCAATAATAATAATAATAATAATATTTTAATGTGAATTAATTGAAAATAAAAAGTTCCAACTTATATAACAATTAATAAAGGGAGATGAAATGCCAAGCATAGAAATAAATACTAATATATAATATTTTAATAATATAAATTTTTTAAAATTTTTATTTCTCGATTTTTATTAAAATATTTTTAATATTTATATAATGAATTTTTAGATAAATAATTTTAAATTTGCAATGTTCAAATTTAATTTAACAAATGTAGACAATATTTTGTAAATTGTAATTATAATATTAAACCATTTTTAATATATGATAATAAGGTTACAAAATAAAATATTCATTTAGTTAATTCTATTTATTTTTATAATTTGATTTTTTTATATAGTTAAATCAAAATTTATGATTTTGATGGCTATTTTATTTAGTGAAAAAATTTGATTGAGCTAATTATTTATTTAATCATTTATTTATTCAGATGATTATTGTTTCATATATTATTGATTATTATGTCTTAACATTTATGATTTTACATTTAATTAATTTATTGTAATACATACTAAGTGAAGGCTAATTAATTAATTAAAAAATATGCCACGTGTCATTTACTCGAAAAACATACCTTTTTTTGTAAAGATATGCCAAGCAGAAGTCTTATAAAATGATTGCGCCACTTGTCAACTTCTCCGGAAAAAAAAAATAATAATGGATTGCGCCACTTGTCAACTTCTCCGGAAAAAAAAAAAAAAAAAAAAACATATATATACTACTATAATATATTAGATAGATATATATATAGTAATAGTATATACTTTTTATTTATTTATTAAAACACTAAGTTCTGGGCAAATCTTCCAAAATTGTTAAAAATATTGAATTGGGATATATCTGCATTTATTTACACTAATTTCTGCAATCTTTCAAAATTTTAAAAATCATTAATTGGGATATATTCTGCTTCTTTTCACTGTAATATGCAGTTTAAAAATATTTATTTAACATTACAATTATATTACTTTAAAACTATATACCTCTATAATGTCTAGGATTTAGCAAATTATAATCTGGATAAAAATAATCATAATTTATCAAAAAAAAAAGAAAAAAAGAAAAGCAATTAGAAATTCAATACTAAATATTGAACTTAAATGCATAACAAAATATAGTCTAGTGATATATGTATAACAGTGCAATGAAAATTTATCTATCTACTTCTCATTCCATGTGTATAAAATTGAATAACATTAATAAAATTGTACACCTATTTTTTTTTATCAAAATAAACTTATAAATAACAATAATTATTTTAATCAAATGGTTAACCATTTGATAAATTTCATACTAAATTATAAATTAAAGCTATTATTTTCTAATAAAAGTTATTAATTTAAAATTTATTGGTTTGCATATTTATTTTTATGCTCAGATCAACATCGAGTATTCGGATAAAATTTCTCCAATAATATATTTTATTTCTATGAATCTAATGGCATGTTGATTTATTAATTTAAACTATTTTCAATCTAAATCATATATTCCTTTAAAAAAAAAATCATTTATGTTCTCTACTATTTGCATAAACATCAAGGAAGGTAGGAAACTAAAATGAAAAAGAAAAACGAAAAATAAAAATACAGTAAGTAGAAACTGTAGACCCATAATAAACCCGTGACCCACAAGAGTTGAAATGGTTAGCAAATCCAGCTGAAAAAAGCATGGCATTTCGTCCGGATGGGGGGTTAGGATGTGGGTACGGAAACATCATATACAAAAGCAAACAAATCTCTGTGCATTATTATATATGTGTATATATATTATCAAATTGCTTCCTTTCCTTTAACGTCTCTGCAAACCCACTGTACCCGGACTAAATTAAATCAGAATGACCTAGAAAATGGACAGGCAGATATAATTGATAAATGTAGATTCAATTTTTCTTTTCTCTAATGTTAAAAAAACAAAAAAAATCAAAAAGTGACCCAACAAAAATTATCCACTAATTAAGCTAAATATACCCACCCATAAAGGTGGACATCCAAGATTTTAACTCAGAACTCAGTACTAAAACCCCGTCCCTTCAGTTTCGTATTCATTCATTTCATTGCCCTTTCAGGTTTTGAGTCAGTGGGTATTTTGGATAGAAAGGTTTTCTTTGATCTTGGATCTCTCTTTGTTTCACCGCAACTGGAATTTGCTTTAAAGGTTAGAGCTTTATAGATTTATTTTTGTTGCTCGAATTGTTGGCTGAGTTAGATGTGAGGTATTGTATTGAAAATTAAATAGTTTTTGTGGGTTTGTTTCTTGCGTGATAAATCTTAATCCTTGATTTACATATATGTTATAGTCGGTTGGGCGGATCTTTTTGGTGACTTGATCAATGGGCTTATATGGGATTTTGAGTTTCTGGGTTGTTTATGAAATCCTGGTTTCATGTTTTTGATCCAAATTTTTTCTTTTTATTAAAAGAAGTAGTTTAAGGGTTCCTATCAATTGGGATACTATTTCTCTTTATATAATATGTACAGATGATGATGCATTGAAAGCTCTGGTTTAAAGGCTTTTAATTGTTGAGTTATATGTAGTTTGCTGAATTGGAAAAGAAAGAAACTGTATTTGATCAAATGGGCTCATCTGGGTTTTCCTTGATATGTATGCTTCATTCTTTAATAGCTTTAACTTGCGGGGCTCTGATGGTGTTTTACACAAATGAGGTGTATGTGTTTGGTCATGGGGTTGAAGTAGCTACAAAGCTTAAAGGATCAACACCTCATGACCAACTCTTGATCCAAACTTCTGAATCTTTTTCTGGGTTGCTCTTGTTTGCAATTGGTTTCTTATTATTTATGGTGGCATTTGTTAAGGATAGAGAATTCCAAAGTTTCTTTGCGAAGGGTTGTATATTGCTTCATGTTTCAGTAGCGTTTTGGAGAGTTTACTTTGAGTGGATGCTTGAAGATTTGGCTAATGATTTGCCTAGGCAAGTTGTGGGTGATATTGCATTAGCTCTTTCTTGGGTCTTCTTTCTTGTTTACTCATGGAGAGAGAAGTATGATTAGCTGCAATACTAATTCTTTGTATCAATGGGAAAAGGCCTTATTGAACTTGGTCAGGCTTTAGGGCTTTTATTGAATAAATTTTTAGCTGGATTTGGTGTAACAAGCTGGGTTTTCTCAGGTGGAAATTTCTGGCTTTTTGGTGGAGATTAGATTGTAGATTGTGAATTTGGAGCTAAAGAAACTTAAAGGCGAAGCATAGATGAGATTCTGGATTTTAGCTGTGAAATCTAGCTTAGGATCTTGAAAATGCTTCAATTCTAAGAAAGTGAAGATGGGATTTGCTCTTTGCATATTAGCTTTAAATTAATAAATAACATCATGTGCTGAACTTCCCTGTAAATCGGTTGTATACATGTATATTTGAAGATGAGAAATGTGAATTGCAGAAATGCACTTATTTCTTGCCGTGCAAATTTTTGTTCAAAAGAACATATTTATCTTAAACCCTACAGATCAATTTCTGTATTTTATTTTTTATATATTTCTTATCAGCAATGAATATTTTAATAATAATAATAATAATAATAATAATATTTTAATGTGAATTAATTGAAAATAAAAAGTTTCAACATATATAACAATTAATAAAGGGAGATGAAATGCCAAAGTATAGAAATAAATTGAAACAACCTAAATTTTCATTTTCAAAGAGTTTCCAATTAAATTTAATAAATTGACAGCCTGAAAATTGATTTCAATATTTTAATGCAAATTAATAATACGTAATGTGATAAACCGAACCGAAAAACCAGTTAAAAATTCGAAAATCAAACAAAAATCGAGATTTGGGCTGAATCGAACCGGAATCGGACCGAATCAACCCAAACCATCTAGAAACTCTCTTTCTTTTTACCTCCAACGCAAGCCTCACCTCCACTCCACCGACACTGCCACCGCCGCCACCTCCTCCTCTCTTCTTCTTCTTCTTCTTCTTCTTCTTCTTCACTGCGTCTGCGTCCTTGGCGAGATAGAGCAGCAGAGTCACGCGCCACCTCCAGCCCGATCGGACCTCCTCGCGCACCACCTTGCTGCAGCTCGACGTCGCAGCAGCTCCGCCAGCGGTTCTGCTTCATCCTCGGCCAGATCGCGCAGCGCAACCTCCACCAGATTGCACCATCGCCTCGGTCTGTCGCGCCTAAAACCCTAATCTCCAGTTCTCTTGCAAAAATTGAGCTCTTCTATAATAGCCATTTGAAGGTTTTTCTTTTTAATTTATTTTTGAACTTGTCCTGATTTTCCAGTTAGACTAAATTGATTCAACATACGTAGCTAAATTCTTAATTGGTTTTAACTTGATATCATGATATGTTTTTTTGTCTTTGAGGCGTACTTTTCTTGAACATTGTTCTGTTTCTGTAAAAATTTAAAAGAAAAAGAAAAGTTGTGATTTGTGAATATGTAAATTATTGAATAAAGAGAATGATAAAGATTAAAGCTTGCTGGTAGTCTATATTATTTGAATGTTGGTTGTGATATTTGTTGGTAATGATGCTGGTGGTATTAGTGAGGACTGAAGCCTAATTCAGTTGATTTCAAATTTGGTTGAAATGGAAAGTATAGTTCAAGGCAAAATGCTTAGTTGATGCTAGAAGAGTGGTGGTTGTTACTCCTTAAGATTGGTTCAACACTGTGCGAAGGTGTTTGGATAAAAATGCCTTCTAATTTTAACATTTAAGTTGATGCATTATAAGCTACACGAAAGCAAATGCTGGATTTTTATTTGGGTGACCTCTTTTATTTATTTATTCTCTATGGAATTGTTAAGAAGATGCTTTATCCAATACCTGTTTTTTATGTTAATGAACTTGGTCTTTTGGATTAACTTTCAAACTGCTTACAGAACTGCTTTTACACCATTTTTAAAATTTCTATAAGTTGTTTTTAAACCATGGTTTGAGGAAAGCTAAAACTGTAGCTTTTTGCAAAACTATGGTTTTCTAAGCTCTAAACATTGGAAAAGTGGTTTTCCAAAAGCTGTCTAACTGGAATGCTAAACAAACAGTAGAGGTCACAGCTTGGTCTGAAAGGTCTTCGGTTAGCTGCCTCAATAGTATGATTGCTATCTAGCAGAATAATTTTGATGAGCTGGCAAATTTCTTATCCCCATTCTAGCCAAAGGAGAATTATCTCTAATTGCTTTTGTGAAGTTGATTTGCTAGATGGTTATGTAGCAAAAATATTCTTAATCTTCAGCATATAAGTTTGTAATTGAAAAGGAAATAAAATTGGAGGAACTCATTGTGTTTGTCAGGTGCTGATATGCTGTCCTTCCTGATTATTGAGGGCTAAGTTAGGCTTTTGTTTATTATATTACTTCTTTTATTTGTTTTTATGAGTAATTCTTTGCTTTGAATCTGATGTTTTCCAGCTCTCAATAAACCCTCTTTCAGTAATCTTTATACTTTGTGTCAATGGGTGGCCTGCCTTTGCAAAATGCTTCCTCTACCTTAGCTCTGCCTGGGTCAGAGCAAAATAAGGGTTCAGCAATCACAACATCTCTACCAGAAACAAAGCCAAAGAAGAAAATATGCTGTGCCTGCCCGGAAACTAAGAAGCTGAGAGATGAATGCATTGTAGAGCATGGTGAATCTGCTTGTGCAAAATGGATTGAGGCTCATCGTCAATGCCTTCGAGCTGAGGGATTTAACGTTTGAGATTGATTTATATGGTTGAGGTTGATAAACTGATACGATTTTGGGACATTGCATACTTATGAAATTACATATACCATACTGTTGAGGAATAAAACAAGAAAACGGAAGCTTTTCTTGACAACAACATTTGTTTTACCCCATTCATTTTATTTAGCTATGTGCCAGTTATAGATGAGACCTTAATTTTTGTGTTAGTCTAACCTTGCTCTGCTGATCTTCTGATTTATTTCTTAAGATGCTGTTATGCTTTGCTGCTTACTAATATATGATTATGTTAGATATTGTTTTTAATGGTCAGTGGACTTGGACTAGAGATCAAATGGCACATAAATGTTAAAAATTTCTGAACACATAAATTTTTGTTTTTGATCTTTTAGCTTTTTTTTTCTTGACCTTTTATTTTGAGCTATTACACATGAATTTTTGTTTTGGATCTATTGTTATTATTCCAAAGATATTATGGAACAATGATATACTACAATGCTGCAATTTTAAGCAAGTCCATTGAGGGCTTCCCATAATGGGAGATATCGAACAATCCCAGGTTATCACCTTTAGTCAGTTGGCTGAGGGATCATTTGCTATTTTTGATCTATTAGACCCTTCAAGGTTTCCTGTTCATAGTTTACATTCTATTTATTGATTCATCAATGGGTATAGAATAATTCATCTTGTAAAGTTAAAAAAAAGAGAGGGAGAGAGAGACTATTAAAATACTTTCAGGATAAAATAGGTTAAAAGAAAAATATAAGATTGTAATAAGGTCAAATTTGAAGTTTGGGTGGGTGGTGCTGTGAATGGTTTTTTTTTTTTTTTTGGTTCCTTAATTAATTATGAGATATTTATACATAATTTTTGACTATCAGCAAATAGTTGAGTTCTGATTCTTAATTACCCATTCTATCTTAAAATATAATTTGTATATAATTTTTTTTATGATTATTTATTCTAAAATATAAGTCATTTTGAGAATTTTAAAAAATAATAGATGATATTTTTCTAATGTCACCCTTATTTATATTAGATAAAACAACTAATTTCATAAGTTTATTTAAATTAGACATAGCAACTATTTTTACAAATTACTTTTGATTTTAAAATAAAAAGTATTTTATTATAATTTAGGAGAATTAATTGATTATTTAAAAATGAGTTATATTTTTAGGAGTAGTCGGGTGTGTTGGTTGCTTTTACTAATAATTACAAAAGATGATAAAAAAGGGCAGATGTATACTAAGAGTAATTCATTAAACCACACAAGAAGCCATAGATATGGCCATTACACAAGGTATGCAAGGAAACAGAGACATGGCTCTTTCACACATTTCACTTCACACCCACATGTATTTTAACAGGAAATACAAATTATTTAGCACAATTACATTATTAGTAAACTCTCACACACCACTCTTTCATTTTTATTATATGCTTCAATGACCACAACCGCAGTCCACACAGGTGCAGCTTGGACCACACTTGCACTTGCCGTCGTTCTCAGCGCCGGCCGGAACATCCATGACAATGGTGGAGACAAAGCTGCAAAAATAAATAAATAAGTAAATAAGTAAAGTAGCAATACAAATAAATATGGATTAACTTTATTAGTTAATTTGCAAACCTCTTCTCAGTCTCAACGATGTCAGCAGTGTAGCTGCTGCCCTTTTTCCTGCAGAATTCAAAGTGCATAGTGTTAATACAATTAATTAAGCCATGCACGAATATTATCTCAGAACTAAGGCCGCTAGTCGAGGTTTATTGAGCTTGAGTTCGACTCAGGTATATCCAATCTTGATTCAAGCTTCAAAAACCAAGCTTTAGTTTGACCCATTTAAGTTGTAAATCACAGATTAGCTTGTTCACAATTTATAGTTGAAAAAATAAAGTTATGGCTGGTTTATATGCTCAGAGTTCTAGCTCGTTGAGCTTGAGTTCCACTCACGTTATCCAATCTTGATTCGAGCTTCAAAAACTAAGTTTTAGCTCGACTGATTTGAATAGTAAATCAGTAGTTGGAAAAATAAAAAAAAAGTTATGCCTTATTTACATGCTTGAACTCAAACTCAGCTTGTTTACAAGCTTATTAACTTGATGGATGCATGTATAAATTAAAAAGAAAAAAAAAAAAGATTAATATTGGATAAGAAACTAAGCACTTACACGCACTGAGACTTGTCAGCGCAGTCGCAGTTGCCGCAGGTGCTAGACATGGTGTTGATGAAAAAAAGAAAGCTTAGAAATCAGTGAATAGGTTGCTTAGCTTAGCTCTGTGTTGAAGCTCCGCAATGGAGAGTAATGCATTTATAGAGATAGGAGAAGACGTGTTGGGACCATTAGGCATGAGAGAAGCACACTCCTCTCTAGGAAGAGTCCGAAGGGAATCTTGATAATGGAGGGAGAAGAGGGTTGCTTCCTTGCTCTGGCCATCTATCCTCCTCTCATGTCAACTTCATTTCTCTTTTTCAAGAAATTAACTCCTTTTTTTTTTTTTTTCTAGATATGAATATTTCTTTATTTTTAATTTTTTTATTCTTCTTGAAAGGAAGATTTTATTTTGTTTATTTATATTTTTGTATTTTTATGTATGCAAAGACTTTTCAGAAATTTTAAACAATAAACATATCAATAATCTATTTTTTTTTTTTTAGAAAAAATATGCTTATTTTTCATTCAAAATTGAAATTATCAAATAAATTCAACCCTATCTTTTCTTTGAATTGATTTCGATCCTGATCGAATCAATTGACAGTTGGCTCTAATCGTAAATTTAAAAAAACGAAATTCGACATCCAACTTGCACAAAATATAAAAAATGTATTTATATATTAATGTTATAAAGATAATTATATTCAGGACATTTAGAGAAATTGAAATCCACTTTTGATATTGGTGATAAAGAATACACGTATATAAAGTCCTAATCTGTGCTTGGCACGCTTTTTAATGAGTATAAGAACAAATTGCTTTACTTCATTTACACGTTCAAAAATTATTTTTAAATGTTAAGTTACTTTTATTTTTGAAAAATAATTTATTTCTGAAAAAATTTAATAAAATAACTTACTTTTTGAAATTGGAGAATGAAATTCAAATATGAATTTATTGTCCAATCTGAAATACACTCAAAATTGAAACTCTAGTTAATAAAATGAAAAATAAATTCATTTTTTCAATTGAACTTATTTTAAAAATTAATGCATACATTTCTTTTTCTTATTTTTTTTTAATTGGACCCAAAATCATGTATCGATTATAACTGAAGATGAAGTTTAAGAAAATTGTTATGGCCATTCATTTTCTTGACTTAAAAAAAAAAAAAAATCAAAGCTTTCCCTTCAACTCTCTCCATAATTCATATAAATCTCTAGCGATATTCAGGGGAATCAAAGGGTGGCTATTCATTAATTTTAAAATTTTTTTAAAATTTATTTTATGAAATATATAAAATTTCACATTTTAACAATAAAATAGTGATTATTTAATATGGTCCTCTTTAATTATTTTTTTCTGATTCTACTACTGGATTGATCTCAAAACCATTAATTTTCTTTCCTTCTATGACCTCTTTTGTTAAAAAAGTTTTGACTAAAGTTGGAATTAATGATTTTATAAAATTTTTCAAATGTAAAATTTTAATAATCATTCAATCAAAATCTTTTCTTAAATTTTTAATCTTTATCTTGCTAAAATTTAATTACTATAATTTATATAATTATCAACCGAATAAAAAGTTAATTTACTTATCAATTCTTACATCTCCTAAGACTGAGCGTGGATAGCTACTTTGATCAGTTTAGTTACATATAGATTGTATTTCCATAAAACGTTAAAAGCTAAACGTTACATTACTTAACTTTCTATAAAATATTATCTTAACCTAGCTAATTCAAAAATTATTTTACTGAACACTATAAAAAATAACGTTTAGCGTTTTGACTAGAGCTATTTAAAAAGATGTTTTCCAATACAACTGTAATCAAATTTTGTATATATTATGTTGTCTTGTTTCATTAAAAAAATAAAGTATTTTTTTAAAGGAAAAAAATAAAGCATCTTTTTCATAATATCAGAGATCGAATTAAACATTATCAACTTCTCATCTTTTACAAGTTTTTGAAATAAAAAATAATAAAATTTATTACAAATCTTGAACACCTAGGAATTCAAGATTTTAAATCTTGAACTCTCATATAGCTTTAATGAATTCAAGAATATTATTTCTAAAATACTTCCAATGAAATTTATATTAGTTTAATAAATTTTACTATCTATAACTTAAAAATATAAATAAATAAAATAAATAAGCAGAATATATTCTGAAGATAACAATCTTTATAGAAGTAAATTATAAAAGGCCACCTCAGGAACTAAGTTCTATACAATGCATGATAGCCATCTTTATGTATAGGAAAGCATGAACAAGTAGAACAATTCTTTTCTTTCTTTCTATCTCCATTTTTTTTTTTTTTGAAAAAAAAATTCCTTTTTTCCTTTTATAAGTTAAAAACTAAATAAAAAACTTTAGAGTGTTGGGATGAGTGGTTTAACACTCTTCCTTTAAGCGATGTCGAATGTTCGATCCTCATAGATATAGTATATACTCGCCGGGAGCATAGACGAAGCTAGAATCTATAAAAGAGAGGGGCAAATTAACTACTATAAAAAAATATAAAGAGACAAAATGGTTAAAATGTCTTAAAAATCCCCTTAGGCGAAGGTTCAACTCTAAATGTTGTTAAGGGAATTTTAAAAAAATAAATAAATAAATAAGAGGAAGCAATTATATCTCTCCTCTAAAAATTGCTCCCAGAGGATACCTGTGGTTTAAAAAAAAAAAAAACTCAAGAGTGGTTATACAATAATTGATTGTGCAAGTGTCTAATGTTATTAAGTTAATTTAGCTTTTTTTTTTTTTTTTTTTCTCTCTCTAAAAATTGCTCCAGAGGATAACTGTGGTTTAAACAAAAAAAAGAAACTCGAAGAGTGTTAACAATAATTTGATTGGTGCAAGTGTCTAATGTTATTAAGTTAATTTAGTTTTTTTTTTTTTTTTTTTGGTCAAAAAAGTACAACCTTACATGCATGTTTTCAATCTGTTTATCCATATTCTACGAGTGGGTATAGATATCATGCTTGTCCTCTTCTTTGCATGTCGAAATCGAGATTTTTGTATGATTGTAGAAAAAGAAAAATAAAAATCTCATTTGACAAAAATCATTTCCAAAACAAATATTATATCACTCATGGTCCTAGAAAATTACTAATTTAATTGCAAAGAAAAGTTTCTATATAGAGAGTTCAATTAAATTAATTACAATTAGTACTTTCCATTTTAGTTATTTCACACAGTCAAGGAAGATCATTGTCGTGCTTAGTGGGGGTAAGTACAAGTGTACAACACATTGAAGTTCCAAAAGTATTTATGAAATAGATGAAATTAATAAATCATCCCTAATAAATTTTTTGCTATTGCTACTCTCACTAAAATCTAATTATTTTTTTTCTAATTTTTACAAAATATTTTAGATGTCTAATGTCGTTAAAGTAATTATTGTGTGGAATAATATTTTTAAAAATAAAAGAAGCAATTTATCAAGTTAAAATTTAAAAGTGGTTGTTTTTATATTGAAACAAATTTTTATTAAAAAGTGGGAGTATTTAGTAAATTTAAAATTTGGAGCAGTATTTCGAAATTTAATAGTTAGCAATTTAAATTTATAATAAAATGTCGAAAATTAATATTTATAGCCATTAGCAATTTGTTCTTTAACAGATAGTCTAATTTTTAATCGCCCACAACTAATTAATTACAGTCACTAAACCAAACAACCTTTTGATTTATTTATATATTAAAACCGTTTAAGTCAATAAATAATAAAATTTCAACTTGAAATCGATTCAATTAGAGAACTCGAGGTTCGAGATTCTAGCGAACTCAATTGAATTTTAATTTTCATACTTGAGTCCAGTTTGAGCACACTTGACTCAAGTTGATTAAATTTATTTACTAAGATGTGAATAATGTAAAAAATAAAGTTGGATGAGCTCAATTGTAAATTATCTTATATATTATGTAAATTTAAAAATATTTGTGAAATTTAAATATTTGACTAAAAATACAAATTATTTGATTTAATTATTATAATACTCGAGTTTGAGTTTAAACAAATGAAAAGAATCAAATTTAATTATTTATATTAAGATTGAATCAAAATAGTTCATTAGTAAGTTATTTGTCGGTGAAACACTTTCAAGGATGTAATTTTAGATTTCAAATCTTGATGTTGCATATAAGATTTATTTGGGATCCACTCCACTTCTGTTAATTCAATTGCCCGTAGGCGTTTTTTTTTTTTTTTTTTTCCTTTTTTTTTTTTTTTTTTTTCCCATTTTAGTATTAAAATTTTTTTTTTTTTTTTTTCCATTTAGTATAAAAAATTTTTAGCATGAAAAAAAATCCCAAGGTACAAAGTAGTCACAAGGCCCAAGTGCAAGAAAATACTGTAAACCTGACTCACATTGGATCTATCTAGCCCAGCACAGCCCAGCTGCCACAGATCCAACTGCAGGTTGCGATTCAGCAGCATGCCACCATATCGTATGGTCTATAGCGTACAAGAATTGAAAAGAACAAGGCTCTTTGGAAAAAAATTATTCTCCAGGTTTTAATTTAATTTTATTTGAAAATTTGAATGGAATTTTTTTCTACATTTATTTCTGTAAAATAGGAAAATAACTTAATGAAAAATATTTTCCTCGAAAAATATTTTCTAAATGAATATTAATAATAATAAAAATTTTATTATTAAATATGAAAAAAAATTCAAATTATGAAAATCGCCGTTGGCCGCCGACGACCATGGTGGTGGCCGGTGGTGGTAGTTGGTGCTAAATGGTACTTAATTATTTATAAAGTTTGTCCATGTCCCAAAAATATTTTAGTCTCTAAAAACTAGAAAGTTGTTTTCCTTAAAAAAAAAATTAATTTTGCTTTAACCAAAAAAATATTTTTCGTTGACTTATTTCCCTGAACGCCTCACACAATAAAAAATTATAATAAATATTTTCCTAGAAATTATTTTGCAGAAACAAACAGAGTATTTATGTAAAAATTATTTTAAGCACTCATCACTTAATAAAAATAATTTATTTTATTTTAACTATTTTTTTATTGATTTTTGTTCATTTATTTACAAATAAGTAATTTTAAGAAATTAAGATATAAATTATTTTGTTCTAGGAAATAGAACTTAATTATTTCAAGTTTAGAACGACGAAATGGTCACAAAAGCAGTGTGTATATATATACACAATATTAGATTGGTTTTATATATAAAGCAGTCACGTGCTTATTTATGCACAATTTTAATAAATATTAATTTTAATTTTATATTTCACTTTTTATGAAAGTTATTTTCTAATATTCATATAAGTTATTTGTAAATGAATTATTTTAAATCTTGTAAAATTCAAATTTATGATATTAATTTTTTTATCTTAAATGATAAGAATATTATGATAAAAATAATAAATGATAATTAATAATTATAATGATTATTTAAATTAAAATTTTCATTACAAAGGAGAGTAGAAAACCGGAATTAATGAGCAATGCCAAATAGCCACAACCCCGTCAGCGTTTAATGAAAATGGCCTCGATAGCAAATAATTATTGAATTGTACTACCTCCGTTCGATATTACTTATTATATCTGAAATTTTACACTTTTAAAAAAAATTATTAAATGTGTTTAAGTTATAATAAATTAATTATATTATTCCAAATTTAATATTAATTTTCTAAGAAAACCATTAAATTGAAGTAATAATTATTTGTCATATATAAAAGGTAAATATGAAAAAAAATGATTTATTACTCGTTGAAATTACAAATGTGACAAGTATTTTGGATCAAACTATTTTTTCAAATTTGACAAGTATTATGGAATGAAAGTAGTAATATTTTTACATCAAGATCCAGACGGAAAGAAAAGACAAATCAATATTACCTCCGTTCTATAATACTGATCACATTTGAAATTTCACGTCCCTTGAGAAAATTATTAAATTTGTCTGAGTTATAATAAATTATTAAGTAAATAGATTATATTAACTTTACCTTAATATTAATTTTTTAAGAAAATTATTAATTAAATAGTAATTTTTATTAAGAAAATTATTATTAAATTTGTCTGAGTTATAATAAATTATTAAGTAAATAGATTATATTAACTTTACCTTAATATTAATTTTTTAAGAAAATTATTAAATTAAAATAATGATTATTAATTATATATAAAGAGTAAATATAAAAAAATAATTTTATTATCCTTTAAAATTATAAATATAAAATATATTTTGAAACAGATTATTTTTTCGTAGACACAACATCCACAGTATTAAATTTACTTTGACGTGAACATCAATTCCACAGGACCAAAACAATATTAAATTAAAGAAAAAAATAAAAGAAGTAAATGAGACATGCCCTTTGCCTTTAGCACTGCAAGGCGCCAACCTAAAAGGCTAAAGCCCCAAATTGCATAGAAAATCCATTCTCTCCGTCCAAGAAAGCAGATTACTATTGACAAAGCCAACCCAAGCCTACGGCTAACCTGGCCAAGCCGCGTCTCTCTATTACTCTTCACTGGAGCAGAGCCGACCGATATTCCAATGCAGCCGCCGCCGCCGCCGATACACATTTTTCAGAATTCCAAGTCAGTCTATCTTCCCCTTCATTTCTCTCTCTGGGTCTGTCAAAATTCTGTCTTTGTTAAATCTTCCATACGAAATTCGTCTCTTTCTTTGTCTCTCTGGTACCAGGAAGCGACTGTTGATGGACCCTGACGTGATCGAAATTCCGCCTCCGGTTTCTCGCGCCATCAAAGAGCCTAAACTCAAACAGGTACAGAAGAGGAAACCCATTAATAATCGATCTTTATCTTCTCTAATTGTTTCTTTATTTATGATTTATTAAGTTCTGTTAGTTTTTTTGTTGATCATTTCTGTAATTGACCCTCTTTTCTTCTTTATTTGTCGTTTGTGTAAGTTTAATGTTCTTTCTGTTTGTTTGGGAAGTGGGTAGTTTTGATTTTGATGGGAATAGTTGAAATTGTTTTAGTTTAGGAAAAAGGCTGAATCTTGACTGGTATAATTATTGCATATCTCAGTTTAGTTAGACATTTATGTAATATATTGAATAAAATAGTTGAGTTAGGAACAGTGAACATGAAATTTTTAGCTGAACTATTTTCTACTATTTTAGGATTTGTTAAAATCACCTACTGCAAGGATCAGCCTTGGCTCCTGCCCTTTCGTTTTGTTCATGACAAATTATATCCAAGAAAATCCCTTTGTGCTTGCATATGATGTTTGCAATTTTAGATTTCTGATAGATGAAGATGTTCTAGGGTTGACAAGAAATTGGAGTCATGGAGCAGCATCTTGGATTTAAGCTAAGTAGAATTCAGATGTATATAGTTGCAAGTTTAGCAATGGAAGGAGAATGGATGAAAGCGGAGTTTTAATGGATGGTGTTAAGGCATTGTAAAATAAACTTTTCAATACCTAAGCTCTATTATACAAAGAGATGTAGAAGAAAGAAGTGCGTGTGATAATAACACTAAATAGTACTTGTTTTATTTTCTCTAACTTTATACTGGGGGTCAGCCGCGTGCACCAAGGAGACTAAAAGAGTCAGAAGACCCTTTCTAGTTGATTTAAATAAGTTTCTGTAGACACAAAGTACTGTATTTTACGCTTTCTTTGTCTTTGTATAAGTAAGACATAATACATCCATTGCGAGTTTGATTTAAGGAAAAAGCAGGAAAGTGGGGTTAGATTAGATGGTACGCTAGTGCCCAAGTGCAATCAATTCAAATATCTAGGCTTTGTGTTCCAGGAAGGTTCATAGATGAAGATGTCTCTCATAGAATTCAAGTAGGATGGATGAAATGGAGTGCTACAAGTATACTATGTGGTAGGAAAATATCTAACAAAGGTCAAAGGTATGTTCTATTGGATGGTGGTTAGGCCAGTAATGCTATATGGTAGTGAACGTTGGGCACCTAATGCCCAACATGTTCAGAAGATGAATGTTGCCATGTTGCGGAGATACGAATGCTAAGATGGATGTGTGAGGGCACAAGATTGGATAAGATTAGAAATAATTACATTAGGCAAAAGACACAAGTAGCAGAAGTTGGGGATAAAATAAGAGGACAAATTGAGATGATATGGTTATATATTGCTTAGATCCTCACATGCCCTGGTTTGCAAATTTAATGCTTTAGCAATGGAGGGTGCTAAAAAGAGAAGAGATAGACCTAAAATTGTTTGGAGGGAAGTTGTCATTAAGAATCTATAGTCTTTGGATATTAACGAAGATATAACTACAAACAAAATAGAATGGAGGCGAAAGATACATATTGCAGACTCTAGTTAGTTGTTGCCTATTTCATGCTTTATTCTATTTAATAAAATGATCTGAAAATTCCTTTTTAAATTTTTTTACAAAAAGTATTTCAAAATTTTTTTCCAACCTATATTTTGCTTTGCATTGTTTTTAACTTGATCAGAGTAGATATTTGAAACAAAGGATTCATATAACCTACCCCAACTAGTTTGGGATTAAGGCTTGTTGACTTAGTTTTCTATGTAAACACACTTCTTATCACAATATTATCTTTTAATCTTGAAAGTGATAGTCAATGTAATTTTGTTAATGAATGAAGAGATTAAGTAAAGAAAATTGTTGACAAATAGGAGTGGGTAGAAGAGTAGAAGGAGATAGAATGGGGAGTGAAAAGTGTTAAAATCATTTGTGTCAAAGAAAGAAAAGAAAAATTTTGATAAAATCGCGAGAGGCTGTTAGACAGAGAGAGAGAAAAGGGATTGAAGAAAGCAGAAACAAAAAAAAAAAAAAAATGATTTTTTGATTAAATCGCGAAGAGGCTGTTAGGACAGAGAGAGAGAAAAGGGATTAGAAGAAAGGCAGAACAAATAAAAAAAAAAAAAATGTGAGGGAGAGGGAAAGAGGAATTTGGAGAACGTTAGGAATAGCTTTTGCTGTGCTTTAAAATAGAGCAATACCTGGTTCAGTGTAGCCACGAATGGTTCATTTAGCTTACTCCTTTTTCTGGTGTGAAAAGCAACTTGTTGTGGTTGTAATTATCTCATCTAGAATGTTTGAGGTTAGATCAATTTGATAAATTCAAACACTAAGAACATATCTCATTGCCTAGATTGAATGCGCCCACTTGCCTAAAAATTTGGAATGGACCAGCAGCTGGGAGTCATGCCTTGCCAGCCCTTTGGTTTAGCCAGTTTTAAGGAATCTGCCCTGCTGTCAGCAGATTCTTATTTTTGTTGTCCAGAAGCTTGTTTAAATTCTGAAGAAACAATTTCTTTGTAGGTTATTACTGCATTGAGTAAATAGATGTTTGAAAATGAATGAAGATTGCCCTGATGTCATCGATTCTGATTGGAAGAGTGGACACAAACTGTTAAGGAAGCTGTCTAGGGACATAATTCTGGATGGTTTACAATCAACTAAAGGTATTTGTGCATTGCAAATAGTTTCTTCTTTTAGATTCTGTTTTCGTTCTGCTTCAATTTTGTCTTTATTTTATGTTTTTCTTTTTCTCTAGTGATTGCTAGGCGCCCAATTATCTGTTCTCTTCAAACCTAAAAGCCTGCTCCGGATCACATTAGACAATCAGCAAAGTGGTGTTGGTTCTGGCTTTGGCAGTTTTATCGGGACAATTATATTGACATTTCCGCATGAACTTCACAGATTTTGATGAATATGCATATATACAAGCTCATTTTGATAATGTGGATATCCTCCTTTGGTTGTGGGAGGCCACCTATTCCTTTGGCTTTACTGTTCTGTTCAAAAGGAAAAGACTACTGCTAATGAAAGTGTTTCTTTTGGGAAACCACAAATTAGATTATCTCTTGTCCATTGGTCATCAAAACCGTGCTTGATGTTGGTTTGGTGAGAAGCAGGCTTCAGTGAGTAGTTCGCATTTCCAAATCCCTGCAGACTCTGTGAGTCATGCTTCTGGAGCAGACCTATCTTCTCATTGGTCATTTCCACAAACTGTCTCAAATAAGGAGGAGCCAACTGCTATGCAACATGGTGGGAGTAGTACAGCTCCCACAAATCTCCAGACGAAAAAGATCCCATTTGTTTCAAGTAGTTCAACTAATTATAATTCCGAATATCGACTGAAAAGAGTGGAAATTCCTCATAGTGTTGTGTCTTTAGGACATTATACTTCATTCGGTATAAATCACCAAGGTGGTACAAATGATCTGTTTTTTCCTAGTTTTCCAGAAAATATGGATAGTTTGAATCAACCTGGTATAAATCACCAAGGTGGTTCAAATAATCTGTTTTTTCCTAGTTTTCCAGAAAATATGGATGGTTTGAATCAATCACCTTTCTGTAGTAGGTCCCATCAATGTCTTGCGTTTCACATCTAAATTCAATCTACCACACACTAAACGCCTGCAAGTTGACCAAAAATTCCATAAGCCATTGCATGCAATGCACTTATTCTTTCTTGAAGATGGATGTTGCCGAACTCCAAAAAAATGTGAATAAAGGTTGATATTCTAAGGAAGTACCAATTTTTAAGCCATTTTTGATACTGTGAAGATCCATTCAGATCATCATTATATTTCTAAAGCTACTTCAGTTAAACGCAGGTAACTAATTTTAGAAGCAGCAATTCATTTTCTTTTATGCTTTTCTGATCTCATTTCCTTTGTAATTTTAGTGTTATTTTTTTTCATTTCTCCCCAGGCCGCCCAAGAATTGCGGCAAAGAGAATTCAGGGGAATGGTTATCTGAGAGAATGATTTGCCAGTAAGTTACTACGCATACATTTTCATGGATTCTTGATGTCCTATTTTTCTGAACTCAACATATTTTCTGCAGAAAATTTTGATTATGTTATGTCAACAAAGATTTACTATATTTTTAGGGTTTATGAATCCAAGGATGGACCCTTTAATTGAAGGGGGCCCCTTTTTTAAAATTTTTATCGGGGGGGAGCCAGAGGGTACTCCCTACATTTGATGGTCTTTTTCTTCTTTGAGTGTTTTCTTCCCTAGCAGTTATCCCAGAAGCACCGGTTTGTGGTTGAATCGGTGTCATGATTATGAATGAAGCTTGTGTAAATTTTTGGTCTCACCAGTTTATGAACTCTTGTCTTGTAGCATTTACTATCATTCTTGGCGCCTATCGACTCAACCCGAATTTGTTACAGTTGTGGGAAGCGTTGCCTCAGCCTTTTCTTTGCACCTTGGCATGGGAACAACGAAATGAGAAGTGGCTTCCTGGTGTTTCGATCTGTGTTACAAGTTTCTTGTCTCTATACCAAGCATTTGATTATTGGATCAAAAGGCCCTTTTTCAATGAGCCAGGATATGAATATTGAGGTGGGTCACCAAATGGTGAAATGCAATTCACAGCAGCTAACAATGAAATACATTTATGTTATCAACTGAAGGAACATGGTTGACAATGGTTTACACAATGAGGAGGCCACCAAAGGTATGTCTGTTTTTAATCATTCATTCTACCTTTTGAGTTGTCATTAGTTAACCCACATTATTGGAAATATGAAAAAGAAAAATCCACTTACCAGCTTAACTTGTTCTCTTTTTATTTGAATAATCATCTTGTGAAGACATTTTAAGACAAATTAAAGTGACATGGGCAATTTGTCAATGACACCTATGGTACATTGGCATATATTGTCATTTTTCTAAATAAGCACAATTGCGCCAACCGTGTCTGTTACATTTTGGCTGAAATACACTGACATGTACTCAACCATGACCACCACTGCAATTCAAAACCTTGTAAGTTAAGCTTAAAGCAAAGAATATTACCATTAAAATTCCCTGTAAAAATTCTATGTTATGTCGGACTTACGAAGCACAATTTTCGTTCCCGAAATTAGAAAGCTACTGACCATTCCAATGGTAACCAATTGTCAATGAACTTAGGACTTAGAATTTTGATGCATCTAATTGATTTCTTGGAGCAAAGTGTTCTGCATTTGTTATTCATGCATTGCTGGATAATTGTGTATTCTCGAGACGCTTAATTGACTTGGTTTTTCTGTTATCTCTGGATACAAAACTAATAATTGAAAAACTGTGGCTTGAACACAGCATTTGAGGACTTTGTTTTGGGGCCATTCCACAAGGCACGCTAATGACATTCTGGTAGCATGTAAAGCATACATGGATTTGGTGCTCAGGGTGGTGTTTGGTCAAAGGTGGTTCAGGATGTTGACTAGCAGGGCGACAAGAGCTGCTTCAAAGCCGGTTTTAAGGACATCTTATACCAGGGTGTGTGATCTTGCTTGAAAGCATTTTCGGAAATTGAATTCAAGGGGACCACGAGTATTTTCAAAATTTAGCAAAAGGAGGGAATACTCGAGCCAATACTCTGCTTTACTGCAATATGAATTGAGGTTCTTGGTGAGTAGTTCAATTTTGAGACATGACGCAAAGCGTCTTTAACATATTCTTACTTGGAAATATAGGCCTCTAATTCATAACGCAAAGGTTCAAATCAGTTTATGAAAGTTCAAATTCAGTTATGGAGAGGATGCTTTAAACATACTTTTCAAATTGTATAGAGGTATAGATATGGAGAGGAAGATGGATGGTATAAAATCTTATGTAATTAATTATTTACTTAACTAAGATGGTACAGGATTCAGTGTTTATATTTTACAATAACTTGTTTTATTGACATTGAAGCCTTTTGCAGCTGCCTGCTCGTTAACTTTCTTTAAAGTAGTACTTTAATTAGAGGATCAAAATGTTGAGCAAATTCAAGATAAACTAAAAGAATCATTTAATATTTTTTTAATTAATATTCAAGAATTATTTATATTTATAGTTTTATCAAATACTGTCTAGTTAGTTGTTCAATCATTTAATTTTTGGTCCTTACATTAACAATGGATTTTTATTAACCAACAAGGTGTTAGTTGAGGTGGCAAGCGATTTTAATTCCGGTAAAAATGAAAACACATGTTTGAAGAGTTAAACTATACTTAACTCCGACTATTTTTCATTGAGCTTTGGAGTTTCCACTAACCTTTTGTCACTACACGGGAGGAGTTCCAAGCCGGCCATTATTGTAGTTGCAAGAGAGAGAACTCCCCATTATTGTAGTTGCAAGAGAGAGAACTCCTCCAACTTAGTGTATGTATCCATCAATTTATTTTTTTTTATCATCAAAATTCAGCCGGCATAATTTGACAATTAAATGATAAATCAAGCTTTAGAACAATTCTTCTCCACTATAGAACATAATCACGAGTTCTTCTTTCATATTCATACTATCAAGAAAACTATGCTCATCTTAATTAATTCTTTCACGTATTTCCTTCTTCTATTGTCTTTCTCTTCTTTAAACTCTGTTGTGTCCTATGCAAGCCAACTCTCTTATTCTGATCATTGCTCTTTAGTAGTAAAAGACTCTCCTCCAAAGCTAAACACTGATCCACCATTATTCCCACTAGGCCATTTCCAAACTGGTTATGGAGGTGGCAATGAAATTTTCAAGCAAAAATCTTCCATTTTCTCAAAATCGTTCGTTTTTCGCACTCGAAATTCATATTATACTGATACTAAAGGTATACTCAAGAGTTGAAGCGGATTTTATTTTTCCATTCCCATACATATATAAATATGAGACCAACCTCACAAGTGGAAGTCCTAAAATGGGGAGAGAATTGGTAAGTCTCTTTCTTGAAGGGTTTTGGTCAGAATCTTCAGGTAAACTTTGTATGGTTGCTTCAACTAGTAGTTTTCTTGATTTTAAAGCTGTTCTTAAGCTTAGTAGTTTTCTTGGGATTTTAAAAGCTGTTTCTTAAGCTGGGAAAAACGCTGAAAGAATCAAGTAGCGTTAAGAGTTTTGACTTTAGAGGAACTTTTGAATGGTTGGATTCTTATTGCTTTGAACCAATATCAATCCTTGGTTTCTTTCCCTCAAATGAATTTATGTAGTACAAGTTTGGATTCCCTGAAAGAATTTATTATGAGTCAAGAATTTAAACCCTTTTAGTTTCTGCAATGAAGGATGGTGGGCCACCTAATGGATTTAATTTGGCAATAAATGCAACTAATTGTGGTTCTGCGAAAAATTGCAGCCCTTTCGGTGATTCTGACTTAGGATTCCCTAATATTGTATTCATTAATGGATTTGGATGTTTGAATAAGAAAGAAATTGCGAGTTTCTAGTGAGTTTTACTAAGAGCAGCTCTAGTGGGGTTTTTACCAGCCTTTTATCCAAAACACAACATTGGTTAGGAAGAGGATATTGGGAACGAGACAAAACTTTCTGTTGTTGCTTGTAGGTTCTTGGAGTTGTTGGATCTTTGGCTGATGCTCGTGTTGCAGATTGTTCGAGCAAGGTTAAGCTTTGATTTTTTCTTCTGGCATTATCGATCGGGAGAAGACTAGTAATGTAGGCATGAATGTGGACTGATCAAAACAAGTGAATGAATTTTGGTTTCCTTTGACAGAATCCTGTTTTGAAAATTCGAGAATCGGGGTAAGTTGAATATTCCTGAATTTGAAGTTGAGTATATACACTCAAATGGAAGGGGTAAAGGGCAACATTGCCTTAAACAGAAATTAGTTAAAAGTTCTTCAGGTGAAAACCCAATTGGGGAATTCGATTCAAATGAGATTTGACATGTCAGTTAGTAATTTCTCACGAAAAATCGCTTCGGGTTAATGGCACTACTTTTAATGTTGGTGGTCAGTTTTATAAGAAGCTTTTTAAGATGAAAGTATCTGCAAATTCCTGCAGATGATGCAAAGTGTACCGTCAATATGAGCTATAAAATAGGACTTTCAGTGATGCCTGATATAAAAATAGGAGAAGGCATTTCTCTTTTTACTAGTACTTCACTTTTAAATGAAGTAGAAATTTCTGCTGAAGGAGTCTATAATGAAAAATCAGGGGGCTTGTGTATGGTAGGCTGCAGAAATCTCGTGTTTGATAATCAGACAGATACGGGGAAGTCCTTGGATTGTGAAATTCTTCTGAAATTTCAATTCTCTCCATTGGAAGAAATCAAAAAGGAAGGTTACATTAAGGGAATTATTGAAAGCCTGCGCGAAAAATCTGATCCTTTTTACTTTGAACCTTTAGAAGCATATTCAACTGGCTATAACATAATCCAAGCAAGACAGTTCATTTAATCCAAGCAAGACAGTTCATTTGGAGGATGGATATGGAGATTGCCATAGCTATTATCTCTTGCACACTTGCTAGTTTCTTTGCAGTATTGCAACACTTGCATCTAAAAAGGCGGCCTGAAATGCTTCCTTTGATTTCAATCGTTATGCTTATAATACTTACTTTAGGCTACCTTATGCCTTTTGTAATGAACTTGAGCTCATTTTTCTTGCAAGATGGATTTCTTCAGGTAAATGAAGTGACCATAAACTTACTGAAAACAGTAGCTTTCGCCTTCCAATTTCGTCTTCTGCGGATAACTTGGCTAGCAAGAGTTAGAGATGAAAGACATAAGGGAATGAAGCTGGTTGAGAAGAATACTTCATTACTTCTTATAGCAATTTATGGTTTTGAGGCCTTAATTGGTTTTATAGTTAATGATAGGCTTGAGTTAAAAACCTATGGTGAAGTGATCTCAGATGGGTTTCTTCTGCCACAAATTCTGCTAAACTTTCTCAGCAACTCTAAAGAGAATGTTCTTGCTTGTTCATTCTATATGGGAAATACATTCCTCCAGTTGCTACCCCATTTGTATAATCTTTATGATGCTTACACTTATTTTTATCGAGTTTCTCCGTTGGATGTGATTATAGTATTTGGAGATCTGCTGTTTGCAGCAATCATTTTTCTGCAGCAGAACAAAAGATCAAGAGCTGGAATGGTATTATAATGACTGGGGTGTTTAAGCGTTCTCTCTGATTCTCACCTTGTTTTTCCTTCTGTAGTGTAAAAGAAACGAATTTAATTTTGTTTTTCCTTCTACAGTGTAAAAGAAACAAATTTAATTTGTCCATATTATTAATGTTTAAATATTGTTATTTTTTTTGAGTAAAAAATATGCTGCCCAACCATGGAGGATGGGTTGGCTGAAAGGCCGTAGCTGGTCCCATGTTACTTAACAATGTTTATATAGATATAGAATTAATTCTATTGAAGAGACCTGGTCCCATGTTACTTAACAATGTTTATATAGATATAGAATTAATTCTATTGAAGAGACACTTTAATATATTAATTTGTTATAAAACTGAAACATATAGTAATTTTTATTTTCAAAATTTTTTAATTTTAATTAAATTAAAAATTCAAATTTTCGATCTCATAGATTACAAGTGTTAATAATTATATTCAAAGTCTAAAATCGCAAAGTTGAGCTCTAGCTCAAAAATATGTTATCGAAAATTCTAGTCGAGAACTTTCTAAAATTTTCAAGAACAAATATTGAGCTTTAAATATTAAATCTATTAAAAATAAATAAATGAAAATAAAATAATAAATAAATAGTAAGACAACTATTTAAATTAATTGTCTTAAACTCAATTATTATTATTATTATTATTATTATTATTATTATTATTATGATTGAGTAGATTGCAGAAATATTCTAAACCTAATTTACACCGGATTAAAATAAATCAACAAAACCAAGTAAAAATAGGTTAAAAAATCTAAAATTTATTCTATTGAAATCGGGGACCAACCATTTTCTATTGAATCGGACCAAACTCGAATTGGACCAAATCAAGGCATAAATATCTTTTTGGGTTTAGGAGAGAAAAATCCAAATTTTCCTCTCCTTTCTTCGTAGCGCGATCACAGCGCCGCCTCCCTCTCCTTCCCGTTTTCCGGCCAAATGGCCATCGTTACCGACTAGTGAGAGCTCTAACCTCAAGAGCTCAACAAGACCAACACTCCTGTGGCTGTAGTTCGCGTGATGAAGGCCTGGATCGAGGGGAGTGGCGAGTAACGGGATTCGGTGTCGCGCGGCGATACTTTTCGGCGATTCCCGCCGTTACCGGCGATGACAGCCTTCATGAGGGCCTCCGATCAACTCCTCATCAACTCCCAATCATTGCGCATCAAAATTAAGATCAAAATTGGGTTCCCCATGGTAATACTGCAGTGGGTGTTTTTTGAGTTTTCTCTTATCAAAATAAGTTTCTCATTTGTGACTAATCCGAATTTGGTAATAGTAATTCTAAAGTTTTCTTCCGCATTGACTAAATAAAATAATAAATAATAATAGCATTATTACTATGCATAGACTAAAATTTATTATGAGAAAATAATTCAAAAAGGATATAATTAATGTAATAATGATATAAATTATTGTTTTCTTAATATTATAAAATTTATAATGGAATAAAACATAATTAAATACAAAAGAAATTAGAGCACATAAAATAGCTAATATATAATATTGAGAAAAGGCTGTAGATGGATGGAGCTAACCTCAAGAAATAAAAAATTAAGTGTAGAAAATTAATCCTCAAGAAATAAAAAATTAAGTGTAGAAAATTAATCGTTTGATCACTCAAAATTCAATTCAATATTTACTTTAATTTCTTTTGATTTAATAAAAAAATATGATTTAATTGATTGAAATAAAAGAAATTCAATTAATTTTCATTCGACGCGGGATGTAATTTATTTTTGTTAATTCTTTGTCTAGAGAATTCGAAAATAGATTTTAGGTGGCTTTCCACTGGATAAAAGATTTTTATACCCTTAATTCAAGTAGTTTGCACAACAGTTTTATCCAAATTCTCATAGAATCAAAATGAATTATGAAATATCATATAATAATTACAATATAAAATACAATTTCATAAAATATAAAATACAATTTCATAAATTTTCTTTTTTAAACAAGCACTCAAACAATAATTTTTTTAAATAAATATAATCTTAATTAAAAATAAATTTATTTCCGGCATTTTTATATCTCTCTGAAGAAATGGGCGCTGCCTTCCCCTTGTCTTCTTGATTCTCTTTCTGTTCCTGAATAGCATGGTAATAAAGGCGTGAAAATGCCTTGAAGTCACGAAAATCACTCAATACAAGGACTATGTTAGGATATATTATAATAAGTATTGATATGGGAGCTTTATTGTGATTAGTTGCAAGTACATGAGAAGCAATTAATTAGGTGTTGAACTGATATTAGTGTTGAGCAGGCACTTAATTAGGTGTTGAACTGATATTAGTGTTGAGCAGGCACATTGTATGTACTCTTGTATTGAGATATTGAAGGTTAATAAATTAACGAATGAATATACTATCCTCTTTTCTATTCTCTCTCTCTCACCCTTTCTTTTCTTTTCTCATCTTCCAAACACTACTGTTATGTTATTCTCGCATGAACAGTTAGGATCCATTGTATATGATCCTAACAGCGAGTGTTGCCATATAAGAAGATTCCTGTGATACCAAATTAAAGATTCTAAGCAATTACATTTCCCAATCCAAAATCAGCAATTTGCACCATATATCAAATTAAATCATACATCGCTCTTTACTATAAGCATTAATCAATCCATTTTGTCGTCAGTTCATGACATATTTTTCTCATTCTGCTTGCAGGTGCTGCTGATTGCTTTGACCTCTTTCACAAATGTATGCTGTAAAAGCTGGGCCGCAGTTGGACGTGCCTTTGGATCAATTTGTAGGCATTTCTCGATAAAGTCACGTGAAGTATCAGAGAGAAAATCAGGAACATCAGGTGGAATACCTTCTCCAATCCAATACCATATCGTCCAAGGTTCTAAATGACAATATGGATATTCTCCACTTAGCATCTCTAATACGGTACAGCCAAGGCTCCATATATCTGCTTCAAGTCCATATCCTCCTTGTCGTGTCGAATCAATGACCTCAGGAGCGGACCAGGCTGGAATCGCTCTGCTTGACTTGTGGAGATTCTCTGAATCAATGACCTTTGCCAATCCAAAATCAGCAATTTGCACAACTCCTTTATCATTCAACAGTATGTTTGCACATTTGATGTCTCCATGCATAACATTTTGCTCATGGAGATACTTCAAACCTTTCAGTATCTGTTGTGTGTAGCAGGACACTCGGGCATCATCAAGGATTAATTCTTTATGAACTTTATCGAGAGACCCTCCACTTACAAACTCGTGAAAAATATAGAGATTTGCTTCCTCCTTTTTTGTGCCAAAATATTCGACTATATTTTCGTGATGTAGTTGACGTAGTGAACCAACCGTATGCTCAATTGAGCTGACTTTTTGTGTGTCTTCAAGTGGAACTTTTTTTGCAGCAAAAAGGAATCCGTTGGGATCAGCAGTTCCTTTGTAGACTTCTCCAAACGACCCACTTCCCAACATTGAGCCCCTTTGCCAATTCCTAAAGTTACGTTCTGGTTTTTTGACCTGCCAAATTCATCACGCTTGCTTTAGTTCTCAACTAGTCTACAACGGTGGTAGATTAAGTTTGCAGATTTAACAGCAGTTTAGAACTTTTAGCGCTACTGTAACCTGAAAGGGTAAATCCTTGCAATACTTGAAGACTTGTGGAGAACTTTTAGTATAAATAATTTACTCTTACAGAAAAAAAAAATAATAATAAAAAAAAAACCAGAAAAGTCCTTACCTCCTTGCCGTGAGACAATGGAGGATCGATGCGTATCTCCTTCTTTCTTTTTTCCTTGCCGTGAGACAATGGAGGATCGATGCGTATCTCCTTCTTTCTTTTACTATTAGATAGTACTGAACTTGTCGAGGGTCTACACAGCACTTGATTAATGTCTTCATATTGTAATCCTTTGAAAGACAACAATTCTTTGAATGACACGCCAAAAACACTGGCAAAGCCTTGAGCAAAAAATGATACCTGTTTAAGATATAATAGCGGCAAATTAAGTTCAAGAGCCTTACTGTATCACAACCTATCTGAAAAAATCCCAAATATTCTGAATTATTGAACTTACCAACACATCCTTATTACACCTATAATACGAAGATGAATTAGCAAGCTGCGATAGGAACACACCATCCAATGCAACACCTATTCTCACTTTATGTATTACAGCTAATGCAATCACTTTGCCAGCAAATTCCACAGACTCATAGTGGGAGGGTTCGGGATTGAATTCTGCTTATATAACATGTTTATAAGTTAGGAAATGATATTAATTTCACTAAATATAAACAAGCTTGGGTTCTATTTCCTTAACTAAATGATATTAATTTTGCTTATTACTATCCCACTCTTTGGATAGAGGAAATTATTTTATGAACATTAAACCATAAATAAGCATAGAAAGGCATTACCAGGATTGATATCGAAGCTTGGAGGATCGCCTGGATGGGCTACGAAAAGGGGATTTTTTGGGTTGAATATAATTTTGCATGACTTGCATAACAATTCATGCAATACTTGAGGATCTGTAAGACTCTTATGTTCGAATACCCCAAATTGATCTGTGTCCAAATCTTGAAACCAGCGAGCTAGCGTCTTCATCAACTCTGCATCTATAGACTCAATAACTCTTGGGATCATCAACATCGCCAAATGCATCCTAGAATCACTATCAGTTACATTTTTGTGCTCAAGAAGCCACTGATAGTCATGGCCGTCTGTTCTCTTGGCAAATCGAACAATTAGAGCACGTAATGGAAGCTTTGCATTATTTAATACAAGCCTAAATCGACGGGGACAAATTCTAGAAATGAAATTCATCTCTTCCAAAATGGCGAGATATATAAACCATCCAGGTTGGACTTTTTCTTCGTTGATCTTTCCTTCCTTAGTTAGACTTAATTGTACTTTATCGAGCAGACCTGCAATGTTATCCAACAAATTGAAACAGATAAAACGAAGAGACTTTTTTTCCGTGGCATATTCATCTCTTTGTGAAGAAATTGGCGCCGGCTCCTTCTCTTTCTTCTTTTCCTCTCCCAGTTTTTTATTTCCCTTCTCTTTAATTTTCTCTTTCTCCTTCTCCTTCTTCTGCTCTTTCTTCTCCTTCTCTTTTGTCTTCTCCTCTTCCTCCTCCTGCTCTTTCTTCTCCATCTCCTCCTGCTTCTCCTTCTCCTGAATAGCACGGTACAAAAGGCGCAAAAATGCCTTCAAGTCACGAAAATCGCTGACTAATGAATCCGTGGTCTCCTTGGTTGAAGGTGAATTGAAGGACCGATGCAAATCAAGAAGCAATCTTTCTACCAAATCCTCAAAAATGGCTAGAATTTGGTCCTTCAAGTGAAATGTTTTATACTTGTCATTCAGCATATAATTACCCTTCTCCGCCAAATCTCTTAAATAGCGAAGACTTAAAACATACAACGAATCCTCACAACTAACCTTTGACCTCAAAAACTTGCATAACTTCAGAATGATCGAAGCACGTTCATCAAGAAAGCCTGTTGCCGTTTCAGCAACCATCAAATGCAACAGGTGCCTAATAAAATAATCGGCCTTCTCTCTGTATATTGTATTTTTTGATGTGTGAAAGTCAGCGAAATGCTCAATGACACAAGACTGAACTAGAGTGTCCAGTGGCTCGGGATTGTTCAAGTTGCCGAGCAAATCGTGCATGTAGCAGGTCATACATCCGTAGCCGTTAGTGGATTCCCCATCACGCATCCTATGTAAAATTGAAATTATTGCTTCGATGTAATCGGATGGAGATGGAGCTGGAGCTGGTAAATTCCGTTCATCAAATGAGGATGAGGGTAATGACTGTTCTGGTCTGTCGTTTGCCATACCGGAAGAATAACAGGACTGATCGTAACGGCGGTGGGTGATCTATTTGCTTCGAATATTTAGTACTAGCGTTAGGCCCGTTCTTTGCACGGATTTTTTAAAGATATGGTTTTTTTATAAATTTTGTCAAAATTAAATTTCAATTCTAATTAGCTTTTTTTAAAATTAATTTGTACAATGAATGCTTTTAATATTAAATTCAAGATTAATTTTTATATTTACCCATCAATATACGGGTTTAAAATTTAAAAATATTTAAAAGTTAAAAGTAAAAAATATAAAGTTTCTGCAAATCTAACCGTCTGTTTATTCTTAATTTGTCAACTAAAAAGTTTAAAGTTACAATATTTATTTTTTGCATTGTATAAACTTTAGTTTCGGGTTTTTTTTTAAAAAATAAAAAAGAACTGAACTGTTAATACAAATATTCAAAAAAAAAAAGATTAATTTGCATCTGAATTAAAATTGACAGTTTATGTAAAAGGTTTTTACATCACTTGACAAAAGGAACTAAGTCCTAAAGTGATAGCATATAATTTTCCTATAATAACAAATATTAAAAAACAATTACATATAAATATTTAAAATGATAGCATTATTTTTAATTGGTTATGCAAATAATAAAAATGTTAAAATATTATACTTACACCTTTTCGTCCAACAATATCATTTTTGTACTCGTAAAATATCCACTATTGTTGAAAGACACATTCCACAATCATTATACCCTCACTTTTATTTTTCAATTATCTCTATTTGTATTCAAATTTTCGATTATATCATTATATTTAAAAGTTCATGGCTACAAAAAGATACGTTAGGGGAACCACAAGTGAGATTAACTCACTATTTGAGTTTTTTTTTTTTTTTTTTTTTTTCATGGCTGACCAAAAAAGATACGTTAGGGGAACCACAGTGAGAATTAACTCACTATTGAGTTTTTTTTTTTTTTTTTTTTTTGAAAAGTACAAAAAAAAGAAAAAAGGAATTACAAGTCATTGTCCCTGTCGATTTCAAGACCACTGATCAGGTTTTTGACTTTGAGTTTTTTTTTTTTTTTTTTTGAAAAGTACAAAAATAAGAAAAAAGGAATTACAAGTCATTGTCCCTGTCGATTCAGACCACTGATCAGGTTTTGACGTTTCGATTTAAAACGCCCTCGCAGAACGCACTAACCTTGAATTTGGCGCACCAATTTTGAATAGAAAAAGTTTACTTCATGCCTTTTCTAGAACAATCGTTCAAGGACAAGAACCGAGTATCTGATGCTTTAAAAGCTCCAAGAAAAAAAAAAAAAAATTTGCTTTGTATTTCAGCTGTTTCAAATTTATTTTCAAAGATTTTTCTATATTGTGCATTATATAACATTGATATGATGGTTGTGGACGGACAGGGAAGACATCCTCTTCATTTGGGGTGGAGCATTTTTTTGATTTGGAAAAAACCATCTGAGAGAAGTAATTCCCCCGCTTAGATTTGTTGCTCAAGACTCTTGGTTCTAAACTGTGCCTAACAATGTTTTACTGCTACAATATTGGATTTTTTTCGGTTCTTGAGTTGGTGTATCACTTTCAATTATTCTAATAAATATATTAATTATTATATCCTTGATATGCATACTTTCTCTCTATTCCGTTAAAATTAAAATTGATCGCTAAAAATAATTCATTGCCTCCTTTTTCTTTAGCATTGAGAGATGTGAATTCCAACTAAATTTATTTTGGAATCATACATGCAACTATCATTCAATTATGCTTTAGGATCCAATTAATCGCTTCTTTAGTTCATAGTCTTAACTAAAAATAATCCACGCCTGGGCGGCATTGCCATAAAATATATAATGCATCATGATTCATGTCTATATAAAATGCCAATATTCTTCCAAAACTTTTAATAAATCAAAAGCTGGAAAAGAAAAATCAATTCTACTTTTGTTAAAAAGGCAAATGAAATGAAACAAAGAAAATTTTTCTGTCCTTTTTTACCCCAATTTCGTATTAATTAATTAAACCTACATTATTTAATTAAATTGAATAAATTAAACTTTTCTATGATCATTGTCTACCCTAATTTCTTATTAATGAAATTAGGTACGCGTGTGAAATGAGACTGTTCTGGCTAATGTTAGGTATGCAGGAACGCGAAGACATTGCGATTCAACATTTTATTTAAACATTCCAAAAACGACAATGAAATCTTTAAAATAGCTAAGCATAAGGATCAAGAAACGACAATTGGGTCTTTAAAATATGATTTTTTTTTTTCTTTTATCATTGAAATCAAGCCGCCGTCTATGACCTTTCCACCTTAGTTTCCAATTATATTTCATCATTTGGTCTATATAGATATATATATTGTTTACTAATTTGTTTTTTAATGTTAATCATGATTTTTAACATGTAAGCCCATTCCCATTAATGAAAATGAAATATACTGTCAACATGTGTAGAAATGATTAAAAATTACATTTTTGTATATTTAAATCTACAACTTTAAAGAAGGAGTAATTTTTTAAAAATATAAACATGACTTTGCACACCAAAGCGATTTGACTTGACTTGGCATATGTATAACGATGGTATACCTACTAATAGTTACGTATATTAATCCTATAATTTTTTTTTTTTTAATTTGACTCCCTAAATTTTTTTAAATTTTTTTCTCCCCAAGTTTGATTCCTAATTCCACTACTGCTTAAAACAAATCTCATAGTTAAAACTTGAAAGGCATAATTGCGAAGAGAAACCCCTCCAAAAATAAATAAAGGGAAAGAAAATCGTTTCAGCGTGATGGTTTTATCTCAAAACACAAGATAAGTCGTTTAAAAAGTAATAAATAATGTTTTTCTTTTTTCAATTTCTTATTTATATTATATACAATATAATTAATGATGTAAGATAAAGAGTAATGATTTGAGACAATGGTACTTTGATCAAATTATCCTTGACTTGGTTAGAATTTAAAAGAACTAATTGCTTATCTCCAGGTACAAACTTTAAACAACTTATATTTTGAGACAGAGGGGATAGTTGCTTGCAGCATTGGCTATTACCAACCACTCTGTTTATTTATTATTCTTAATAGACCTTATTAAATTAGTAATACAGGGGTATTCTTGGCTTGATAATTGTGAAACCAATGTTACAACGCCTAGCCTAGCTATTTATTCAACTGTATATTACACAGAACTTTCTGATTTTCTCCTTCAGTTCAAGATTTGCGCTCCACACTATAACATAATCTGTTCTTCATCAGGAGAAAAAAACAAAGATATTGATGGCTGAAAAACCTAATCTCAGTATTATAGTTCCCCCTGAAGAAGTTTCAGTTTCCAAGTTCCTGTATGTCTGCTACTTTTTTTTTTTTTTCTCTTTTTCCTGTATTATCTCTCTCTCTCTATATATATATGTATTCGGGTTACATTTTTGGCTGATTTTCGTTTGCAGTACCAAAAATGGTACGTTTATGGATGGCGATCTGCGTGTGAATGGCAATGGACTTCGAATTGGCTCGCCAAGCGAAACTGAAACCGTAAGATTTTGTTAATGTTAACTTTCCACTTAAAATTATTATCTGATATGATGTGTGAATCAATGTAGATTTTAGGTAAGAGAAAAAGCTGAAACGCGGTCAAAAATTTCTTTATATGTAGGAAGGATTGTTGTTGAAGGACAATTGCAATGTTCATTTGTTGAAATTAATAAATTTTGTATTCAGCCACTTCCGATTTCGACATCGGACAGCAAATGGAATATAGCAGAAATATGCAAAATTAAGAAGATCGGCGAGGCAAATAGTATTGTTTGGTTGGCGCAACACAAGAACAAAGAGCAGCTATTTGCATTAAAGGTAATGGCCTTATGCACTTAAAAGAATATATTAGTTCTCTAATGTTCATAAGTTTTGGTCTTCTTTGGCAACATCGTCTAAGTTTGCATTTAGCGTTTTGATTGGAGTTAAAATGGCTAAATGTAAAAATTCACCCCTATATTTTATTAAATATTTAGAGTTGTGCCAATCTAAACTTTGCATGGGACTTATCATTGTGAATTTTGGTAGAATTATGTACCTTTGGTAATAAAATTTTTTTGGTGTTTTTGATTTTTATATGTAAAAAATTAAAATGATGTATGGTTAATATAACTTTTTAAGATAATAATTTTTACATTTTTTAACTATCCAATAAATGTTTAATAGATCTAATTTTACAAATTGGAATTTTCAATAAAATAATTTTGCAAGTTAGAAGTGTTCTATAAATGCAATTTTATAAGTTTAAATATTTAATTTTAAAAGTAAAAAATTTAAGAATACCAAGATTTTTATATAAAACATAAGGATAAATTTATGCATTTGGCCGAATTAAAATATTATATTTTATTAAATGTAATATTTATGTTAGGTAGCGGTGTTAAAGATCGGGAAGTGTTTGATGAAATGTTACTCTTAGTTAATGTCTAACCGGTAAAATAACTCAAAACTACTGCTATAATATTTGTTGAATGATTGGATGTTATCCCTCCGTTCAATATTCATCCAAAAAATTATAATTATTGTTGAAACAGATGAAGTGGCATTATTTTTTCATTATAACTAATATTTTTTAAATTTAATAAAAATTAATTTTTTATAAAATAATGGAGTTACAAACTAATAAATTTTTTATTAAATTTAATAAAAAAAATTAATTTTGTTTATAAAATTAATGAGTTACAAACTTAATAAAATTTTTTTATTTATAATTAATATTTTTATAATTATAATATTTTTTAATATTTTTTAATTTAATAAATATTGAGTTTTTATTAAATAGTTTTTATCTATAAAAAAACTAATGGAGTTATAATAGGGCATAATTAATAAAAATGAATTAAATAACATAGTTACATTAACAAATAGAATTAAAATATTAATTTCAATTTCACTAAAATTTTATTTTATTAAAATTAAATATTTTTATTCTTCGTTTAATTTGAATATATGAGAATTTTAAAGAGAAAAAAATTAATTAACTATATCAGTTGAATTACAATAATTTACTTGCAATGATTAATTTTGCAAATTAATATTTTAATTAATATTTTAGTTTATCATTTGAGAATTTCAAAAAAAAAAAACTTATAATTTTACTTTTTATTATTTTTAATTAAAAATTAAATAAATAAAATTATTTAAATTAAAGCAACACAAAATGATAAAGTATGTTAATTTTCTTTTTGAAGAATTTACCACTCCAATTTAATTTTCAATAAAAATATTTAACTTTTTATTTTTTAATTAAAAATAAATAAATAAATTATTTAAATTAAAGCAACACAAATATAAAGTATGTTAATTTTCTTGAAAATTACACTCAATTTAATTTCAAAAAATATTAAATTATAAGGTCTGCTCATCCTGCAGATACATGTCTAGTCTTTCATAAAATCCTCTTGGTAACGGATTAGTGTTACTTGAAGTCTATAATTTTTCATTTAAGGTTTGTTATTAAAATAAAAGTTATCATATTATTTTGAGTCACGTGATGCGATTAAAATTCTATAAACAAAGGGTCTGTTTGGCAAAAAATTAAAATTGTTGGCCAGAATTAAAAAAAAAAAATTTATTGCTTTTGTTACGATGCATTTTGAAATATTAACAAAACACCATATCAGTAAATAAATTTTAGAAAACACCGTTTCCATACTTTTTTTTTTTTTAAAACCCGAATTTTGACTCTATTTATATTCAGGTTATAAAATTGAACCTTGACGATACTGCTCGAAAATCAATTCGGCGGGAATTGGAAATTAATCTGTCAGTGCAATGTCCATATGTTGTCAAGTATTATGAGTCTTTCTATGCAAATGGTGAATTTTCGATTCTTTTGGAGTATATGGATTGCGGAACTTTGGAAGATCTTCTGCAAAATGTAAAACAAATTCCAGAACCATATATTGCAGCCATTTGTAAGCAGGTGAAACATTCTGGAAAATTATAGAATTCCTGAATTTTCATATATAATACTGATTGTATTATTCATTTCCCTATTGTTGCATGCAGGTGCTTGAGGGTTTATCATATCTTCATCATCATGAAAAACACATCATTCACAGGGACTTGAAACCTTCTAATTTATTAATCAATCAGAAAGGAGAAGCAAAGATTAGCGACTTTGGTGTGAGTGCAACATTAGCAAAAACCTATGGACACGCATATACTTATACAGGGACGAGATACTATATGGCTGTGAGTATTTAGCTGTAGTGATGCCAATTTCTTTTCCCTTTTGTTAGAATTTTCCCACTTACCTATGGCTACAAAGTCCCACAATTGTTCTGCTTGCAATTGAAATTTGATAGATGTGTGATTGTTTCATTTTGTAGCCTGAGAGAATTAATGAAGCAAGATATCATGACCACAAAAGCGACATTTGGAGCCTGGGTTTGGTATTTCTGGAGTGTGCAACTGGTCAATTTCCATATGACCGGGAAGACTACTTTCGTTTTCTGAAGACTGTTGTTAACCAAGAACCACCTCGTGCACCTTCTGATCAATTTTCTCCGGAGTTTTGCTCCTTCATATCTTCATGGTAACTCAAGATTATGGTGCTTCCATAAGACTTATTTATAAAGTAATTTTTGATAGTGCTTTTCATGTTTATTATATAATATCCATAACCTCTATGTCTTTGCATATTTTTCATCCTGGAGACCCATTCTTACGAGTATGAAGCAATTTGGAAGAAAATAAACTGTTCAAATTACACTGGTGCCTGTTATTGTTTTCCGTTCTTTCTAATTTTGAAAATTGTGTGTATACATTATATAATAGTTGGTTTTTGCATGCCATTTCTGTTTTCTTTTTAATTAGTTATAGTTCCCATCCTTGAATTAATTATCTTTTCAGTTTGCAGAAAAAACCAGAAGACAGAAAATCAGCACGTCAACTTTTGGTATAGGAAATTGTATCTTTTCATTCTTTTATATAAACATATAAACATGTGCTGATTGAGACCTTTCAATGCAAATACCAGGAAGATCCTTTCTTGAAAAAGTATGAAAGTCAGGGAGTAGATCTCTCAGCTCTCTTCAGAAATACTCTCCACTCTTCTGAAACTTTTGGTAGGTCCAATTTTTTTCTTTTTTCCTTTTGTTAAATCCTATCTTGAAAATCTTCTTATACTTGTGAGTTTAATCCACATCCTATTAAGAGTCACATCTCATAGCTGTAGTAAACTGTGTTAGACAAAAGTTTAACCGAAGGCGGGTAGCAGATGGTGATCAGGTGAGAATATGACCTCAAACTTTTCTAGAGATGTTCATATAGCATGTCCATTTACCATTGAGTTCACCCTGAATTGGACGAAACAGTGATAAAAGAAATGTGTTTCTTGTAATTAGCCCTGAAAAACCGTCAATCCAGAAGAAAAAAAATACAAGCATTGGAGGTGAAGAAAAAGATAAGAAAGCTGAAATGAAATAAAAGAGATTCGATAAAGAACAAATAGAAATTTTCGGTGTTTTCCTTTCTTTTATTCTGAAAGGTCAAGAAGCTAGAGTTCTTTTGCCCTTTCAGCCTTGTCATTTTAACCCTTCTTGGCTATTGTCTGTTTTACAGATGCAACTGAGAAACCCATTCCTGAAGGACCTCCAGTTGAACTAGAATCAACGGAAGAGGCACCAACCCCGAAAAGAAAATCTAATGTACTCATAGTTTCCTCGTTTTGTCATGTGATTCTCTTTCTCTATTTACGAACTTGAAACATCTGATTCTACAGTCTTTCGGAAATCAACCTGGCTTGGAGAGTGAAAAAACTACTGCTTCCATGCCGAATCCTCAGATAGAACAAGCGACTCCTTCAACATCATCGATGAATAAATACATAGGTTCTGAGGTAAGAGTTTCGTCCAAGAGAAAGCATAAAGAGGTGACAAATCAACCAGAAAAAGTAGACTCGTTGCCTCCCAAGAAATCTTTGCCGGTTGTTCAGTCTGAGAGTGTCCAATCTATAGTAAGTTCTCTCCCCAATATTGATAAACCTTCAGTAAGTTCTCTTGAACCTACAGAAACCAGTATTCATAAAAACCAGAAGCCCATTTCTGTTGGTATGTGGCTATGTTCTGAGATTTTCGACCCAATAAGATTAGCTTATAAAATGTCCACAACAAATATGTTAGGGCACTCTCAATATCTTAGTGGATCATTTTCCGGCGTCGATCCTTCCTGAAAATTCGGCTCCATTGGTCTTGAGGACGGAGAATACAACTGTCCAAGCCACTGATTTTTCTGTCTCTCAGTCAAATTCTTCACTGGCAGTAAGTATCGGCTTTCAGTTTCACTCTCAGATATTCATTTCTTGTCTGCTATTAACCATTTCCTATTTCAGGCCGATCTTTCTAAAATAGAAGACGACGAGGACTTTTTTCGACAGATCCTTCTTTCCTTGTCTCAACCAGAGCCTGGCATTCCTACAGCTCCCTTTTCTTCGGTCTTAGCTAACTCGAGCAAAGTGCCCGTGGGGACACAAGTGTTGAATGCTCTGGATATTATCAGGCAGATTTTGGAACAAGGGGACGACGTCTTCACTATTCCCCAATTGTTTGACCGATTTGTTGACAGCTTGGAGACTGTAGTTCGTTATGATGGCGGCGGCCAGATGAACGTTCATAGTTTGACGATCGTCAAGAGTATAGCTCGAGACATTCGGCGCTTAAAAACTGATTTCGATGCCCCTTACGCGTTTGGGATATCCTTAGATCAAAAGAAGAAGCAGCAGGAAGACTTGCATGTCCAGTGCAAGTCAACTATCCAGGCTGGGCTGGCCAAGACGATGGAGAGGAAAGCTGTCTCCGCCAAAGTCATAGAGCTTGAAGCTAGACTAGCCGAAATGAAAGTAAAGGAGATGGCACTTAAGGCTGAAGTCAACAGTTTAAAAGACAAGGTGGAGGCCCAACAAGAAAACCTCCGTTCACTGGCATCCTCGATTTCAGCAGATGAGAAAGAACAAGAAAGGCTACTTGCAAAAAAAGAATTGGCCTGTCAAGCACTGCTGGACTTTGGTGCTAGTATCTTCCCGTCCGATGAGACTCCTCCTTAATATTATCTTCTTTTTTTTTTTTTTTTTTTTTTTTTCAAGAGCAACTGCGCGACTTTGGTGCTAGTTATCTTTCCCGTTGCCGATGAGACTCTCCTTAATATTATCTTCTTTTTTTTTTTTTTTTTTTTTTTTTATGTATTCAAGGCTTTTTTTTTTTTTTTTTTTTTTTTTATGTATTCTAAGCTTTGCCTCTGTATCTGCCACTGTGGATCTGGTGACGCACGTTAAGGATATAGAAATAGAATTCAATTGTGTTAGGTTGTTAGTTGTAAACATTGGTGGCCCATTAAATCCTAGTATCGGGAATATAACCTTCCCCTTCTTTTAAAAGAGAAAGTTATTTTGATTTATGGAGAGCCTAACATCTGAGATACCTCTTTTAAAAACAGAAATCTGCGATTTTATCATTGTACAATTGGCTGGTCAGAATGATCTCTATGATGTTGATATATGATATTATGGTTTGTGGTGATAAAATATAATGTTGAGTTGGATCACCATTGTAAATCCAATGAGACATATAAATTTAAAATGGTGGTTGCATTGTTGTGGACTGTGGAGTCATTACTGAGCTGATCATTTCCAAGTGATTTTTTTATCAGCCATCTCCATAAAATGCGTATTTTGATCTGTATGCAGAGTACTCTCTTGTTTGAGCAAAACAATCAAAACTTTGTTTGCTCAGAAATCCATTTAAACTGACCATTTTTATTCTTATATTCTGTTGACTTGAAATATATTATTATCCACGGCTTTCAGCAATGTTTTTCTTGGAATTTTGCGGGTTTTCTTCGTGCCGCTCAGGCATCTGAATTTAATGTGGAGGCAGCTCAGACAAAGATTGTTTGAAATAATTATAACAATATCAATAGTAATGACAACAATAGTAGGACCCAATTTCAATAGCACCTTGTTTGGAATAAATGAATTCCACCAACATCAATAGTAATGCTGTTTTTTTCCCTCCTCTTGTTAGAATCTTTTCACTTACCTATTGCTACAAAAAGTTCCACAATTGTTCTGCTTGCACTTGAAATTTCATACATGTGTGATTGTTTGTTTCGTAGCCTGAAAGAATTAAAGAAGATAGATATGACCACAAAAGCGACATTTGGAGCCTGGGTTTGGTATTTCTGGAGTGTGCAACTGGTCAATTTCCATATGACCGTGCAGACTACTTTCGTTTTCTGAAGACTGTTGTTAACCAAGAACCACCTCGTGCACCTTCTGATCAATTTTCTCCAGAGTTTTATTAAAATATCACCGATTAATTTAAAAAAGATAACCACTAAAATGGATTACTACAATAAAGATAAATACTCGGCAAGCTTAAAGCCCAAAACCCCAAGCCCAAAGTTGGAGGTCCAAGCCTACATTCTAGAATACTCCACAATTTTTCACACATGAGATGTAATGAAAATATCTTACCTAACTCTAGAATGTTCCTTGTAATCTAGACCGTCCATTTTTGTAAACAAATCTTAGCCGTACATTGAGTCATGTTGTACAGCTGTCTGAACCGATCAGTATGACCCAGCCGCGCCCGTGACTAAAAAAAAGACATATACAAAACCACTAATAATTGGATATTTACTCAATCAATACATGCCTCTGACCAAGGTACTCATATTTACTACGGGCAAGCTTAAAGCCCTACAAACTCCTAGAAAGCGCCAAAAAGAATTAAGGTCAGAGTCGCGGAAGCACTACATTTCGTAGTAAAGGTAGTAGCCATCCACAATATTTTTCCACACATAAGTAGATGTAATAAGAATAACTAGTACGTTTACCAGTGTAAACTCAATAGAATGATTCGCTGTTTATAAATACATAAGAACCGATCCATTTTTGTAAACAAATCTTAGCCGTACATTGAGGAGGTGGAAATGCCTATAAATCACCCCTCCTCTCATTTGTAACCAACCAAGCAAACACAAAACAAAATATCCAAGTATAAAGGAAATTTCCCAATACTCTATCACTTAAAAGATCTATGTGTGAATGGTTTAAAGTCCGTCGTCTTTGATATAAGTTACAATAAATATATTTGAACCGTTGTTTGTGATTTACTAAAATAGTAATATATTTTGAGAGGGAGATGTTTCCTTATACCGCGCACGTTTATTTGAATTTCCAAGGTTTGTTATAAAAATTAGTAATAATTCGAAATCTTAAAATGAGATATAAATATCACACAATTATAATCCTAACAACCTATGTGAGAATAATCAGAAGCTACTCCTAGAAATGCGCCAAGACAATAACTTCACAGGTAAATCTAATGAAGACAACCTAGATTGTAGTGGTAAGTTGAGTTTTAGTGGCTTTCGTAGATTAAGTTAATTTGTGTTGGATGCATTTACTTAAGTTGTAATTATAGTCAAAGATCTGATTATATACTATCTGCTGAGAATATATATATTGTCCAAAATAAAAAAGGGAATAAAAATTCATGACAACAATTAGACGAGTATGAGAAAATGAAGGAGACTGTTAGAATGAAATTGTACCTAAAAGGGTCATAGAATACAGGTCTACAGGAGCAAGGAGTAGCTGCATCTTGCAATGGTGCCGACATTCAGGCCAAGCGAACAGGATCTGGCACTTCCAGGATCAGATTCATGGGTTACGCTCCAGGCCTACATGAACACGCCAGGTAAATACTAAGAGTAACAACTAAACTCGCCCGATCTCTAGAAGGCACATCTGACCTAATCTGATGTCATCGTCACATCTCTAGTCACCGTAATCGCTCTATGACCCTAATACCACGCATAAAATTACCGTGGAACTGGTGTCAAGTCACCACGTGATAAGAATCTATTCCTCCTACTATGGTCACAGAGCTTATACGCGCCGAAGATCGGTATACGAGGAGAAAATAAATCCATTCTACCAACGCACCACTATTTCGGTATGCACGCAAGCTACATGAAGAAGCAAAATGTCGTAGAGAAACAACCATGCGTTCGAGCGATGTATTGTGCATGTACAGTTTGTTGAGCTGGTTAGTATTAACCGTGATAACCAACTGAGCAGATATCATCGAACAGATAATGGCTATAATAACACCAAAGCCTCATCAAGCATAACAGAGGACATTTCTGCAAGTCCTGCTTTTGGAGAAAAGCAACGACACGATTAAATAAATCTGGACAACTCGAAGCTCGAAAAATATCTGAGTCACTTCTCAATCTCCCGCAACAGGCACCTATCTCATCTGTAAGTCATCTACCTTTTCTCTCATAAGTCATAAATTCCTCATCTCTATCCGTAGGATGATTTCTTCGAATTAGATTCCATATCAATCAAGTAGGCTTCAAGCCTAATATCAAAACCTGAATTAAGACACCTCAACCACAAAATCAAACATAAGTCTAATATGACGCAAACTAAAGAAGATATCCCGATTGGACATGGATTCCAATCCTCATTCAATCCCGGATCTATAGACTATGATTAAACGGGATCTTATGAACTTGACTAACTACGTAGGAATTGGAGCATTACTACTGCGCCAAAATCGATGAACCTCTTATTATTCACCGAAGTTAGAAGCCAGAAATTCCTTAATCCAATGACTAATTAGCAACCTGTTACCTGAACAGCGTAAGATAAAAACTCTCTAGTACTAAAGGATAGCTATTGAAAGGCACATGAATATTAGAACAAAGTCTCATACTACAGCTAAAAGAATGGGAGATCATTACGAAAACGTTACAAGAGTAGATGTGGAAAGGAAAGTAACATATCAGATAAGCGATGGAGAAAGCAAAAGTGGAGCCATCAAGCAAGGCGAGAGAACGCCAGGTCAATAGGATAGTCCATGACTGCGAGAAGAGTGAATCGTTGTCATAGCTACAGTTGCATAACAAGAAAAGAGGATTACCTTCGACCTACAAGCCAAAATATGAGTGATATGTAGACGGTCCAGAAGTGATAACTCACAACACAATCAAACTATAACGCCAGAATATATGATAGCCAACCAAAAGTGAGAAGGAATGAGATATTCCACAAGAGTTCTATTAAGTATCAAGGAAGGAAATGATTATTCAATCAAATAAACTCCAGCCAAGAAACCAAGACCAAACCCAGAATACTAATAGTAATAAAGATGATAAATCAGACAGGACTCCGAGCAAAGAAGTACCACGCTCGAATTATAACTAATACAACTGGTAAGAATCGACCTGTAAGATCATACTATGTATGATTGTTAATTTGGTCGCATAAATTAGATTGCTGTGTAAATGTACTCTAAAATACTAGCATATTCGAATCAAAAACAGAAGATGAATATATCATAGAATAAAGCTATTGGCCGATATATATTAAATGGGAGGATACTGATAGTTATGTAAGTCACAGCTTAATAACACGAGATATGCCAATATGCTCCAACATTTTGGAATGTACACCTATTGTTTCTCCCTCCAGTAAGAGAAATATGGCAGATTACGAGATGGTTTAGCGCATAGATTGCCAATGATGAGAAAAACTTCGCTCTCTGTATCAAACGATAAATAGCAAGTTGGCAAGAGTAATTATGTGACACCTGCTTCGGTCCTATAATGTAGAAAGGTAATTAATATCGTTAACCTTATACATCATAATCGTGAGATACTCAAGTATGGAAAAAAAGGATGGCCGAGATTAGAAATCAAAGTATCATAACGTCAATGTCAGCAATATCAAAGAAAAATCCATATGAACAAAAGAGACAAGGAAGAGAATGGACCAATGTACTCACAGAGAATGGTACTACTGTGTTATGTCATCTATCTGTTGGCAAGTGATGAAGAGAAAATCAATTGGCTCATACTATCAACAGAAATAGCGAAGTCAGGTAATTTATGTGGAATGTAAGGTGTGCAGTTTTCACTCGTAGATCACCTTCATAAGTTAATCGAAAGTGAGTATCGCAGTCATGGAAAAAGGAACTGGCGAGTAGAAATCAATCTATGTCATGTCAGACACCCAAGGAAGGGTCCTCATTGATTGGATATTACCAACGAAGACAAACATATATATGCAAGTAGGTGAGAGTACATTGCTAAGAAACTTGTTGGCACTCGACAATGGCGTCATGTGAACATGTGTTAGTTTACCTACTACATAAAGCTTCAAGTGTGCTCATAGATTGGAGTAGGTAGTCCATTGCTTAGAAGGTACTTCCTCAGTTGGAATAGCCGAGGAAACAACTTTTGATATTGTCTGGAATGTGTCAACAGTATGTTGATAAAGGACATCATCGCTAAGCTTCCCGTCTTGAAGAGGTCATAAAACATAGGAGCCAAGGTGCTCATTAGAGTTAATGAGACACCATTTGTGACTAATCGTTTCTTTGACGATCAAGCACCCTTAAACCTAGGACAAAGGTATGTTATTTATGAGGTAACAGGTGGATTACTCCTTCGTTTCTGATTGACTCTCAAGCTCTGAGATATCGATATTGGGTAGAGTTTCATTGGCTAGGTATAGGAAGTCAGTAAGTCTTTTTGATTAAATTTCAAAGCCTTCAAGAAGATGTTAATTTTAGAAAAGATAGTCGTGGAACCTCCTATAATTTTAGTGTGAGGATGCTACTTTCGCACTCTCTGTAACTATGAGGGTAGATGATACACGTTCTGACGAAATTCACTAAATAGTGTGCACAATGTATTTGCAGCATTACAAAGGTCAATTCCTTCCACAATGTCCAAGAACACCTACAGCAGAATGGAGTTTTGCTGAGAGAAAAATCACACCTAAGCTGTTACGAATCTTGCAGCGAGTTTGAACTCTCATTTGCGTCATAAGAATGTGCCTCAAATATAGTACTTATCTTGGGCAGAATTGTGCATGAAGACCGTCATAAACTTGTATCGGGTTAGCCAACAGATACCTTTACCCCTCAACGCTAATTGTACATGGCGAGGTTTATACATACCCTTATCTCTCAGAAATTTGTTGAGAACATTAATACAGCCAACTGTATAAGGTCATTGTTTGTTGTATTTTGGAGATTGTCCGGTGTCGCTTTAGTGTCTTTACTATTTCTCCGGATGAATAACTTCTCGTATACATATCAGTGCAAGCGCTTATAGAATGACAACAAAGGCATCTTCCTTTCCTACCTCATATGATTCTATTGGTTATGATGAGCAAAGAAAAGGCTGGATAGAGAATGTTTGATGATCTTTGACAAACATAACACACTCCGTGCCAAAATTTATCACCGAAAACGTGGTTCTTTGATTGAGACAGTTCATTCCTTGGCGCTCGCGTCATCTGATAAGCAACATCTGCTAACCAGACCGGCTTATAATAACTCAGGAGCAATTCAAGATAGTGTAAAGGTTAATGAAAAGAAGATAAGAGAGGCCGCGAGAGGTTCAATCCCAGAGAACAGAAGTTCATAGGAGATCCCCAAACCAGAGTTCAAGAGAATCGAAGAGCCCATGGAAGATTAGGTTGTCATAAACGAACAACACGGCAGCGCGAAGTCAAAGATGGAACAAGGATCAATGATTTTATGCCTCTCCCTTTGGGCGATCTGTGGCGTCGAGAAAAGAAGGCTAATGCCTCTCCTTAAAAATATGCAAGATGCTGCTGTATAGCACCCAGAGAATCCATGAATAGGAAGCCAATCCAAACTTTATTGAAGTAAAAAGCGATCAAAGAAGATCGTGGAGTGGGACTACTGCGAACTCGGAAAGAAGAAATTGAACCTGCCTTTAGTTAGAGAAAATCAAACAATGGAATTAGTTCCGCCAAAACCCAGCTTCACGATGATTGTGATTAAGACAGCCCATCTCTTGCTTCAGAACATGGGTCTACAAAAGTTTCATTAGACCTCGCCCACGATTTGGAGGTCCAACCTCTCGCGCACGACTGTATACACAAAGCTTAAGACACTGGATTGACTTTCATGGATTTTCTCATGCAATAGTGTGGGATGGACATATGAGACCGATAATGACGAGACATCTATAGTCTGTAGTTGCCTAAAGGGTTAGTCTTCTTTCTCAGTTGTGGCCCTGCGTTGTTATTTTACATCACACGAGAGAGAGAGCATATTGGCAGCTAGTGTGACCTTCCAAGCTCATTGGCCGATAATTCCTCCCGCTAAGGCAGATAAGGCATTGTTGAAAGAAAATCGCATTCATTACAGATGGTGAAGTTGCCATTCATGAAATTTACATGGAAGCACTCTACTAGGGTTCAGAGGTTCCGGTGAGAATAGCGCCTAACCGCGTATCGTGAGTGGTCTCAAAAGCGAAGGAAAGCTCTTTATGGTTTAACAAGAGCATGATCTGCACCGCCATAATAGCGGCACTTCGCGAAGGCTATTGAGCAAGATCTCTGCATGTGCATTCTCATTAGCTAAGTTAGATATGGATATTTATGTTATGATCACTATAGCAGACCTCTAGTTTACTTGTGCTTTTTAGAAATAAGATCAGGAAGAGATACGGCACTTAGTAATATCAGAGTCTGTAGTAATCATGTTTGAACAGACTATAATAGTTCTACTTGGAACTTAGTACTACCTTTCCCCGAAAAAGATAACTTTCCACCCTCATCCGAGGAATTTGGCTACTCATTTCAAGATAAAGAGCTAGGTAAGGTCAGGGCACATTTCTCCCTAATGGAAGAGTTGTAGAGGATAGAGAGGAAGTCTCCAAGGAAGTTTGTATTGGTGGCCTCGTTTACAGGACAGACAGTATGCTAAGAGAAATCTACTAAAGAGGTTTCTGCGAATGATGGAACTTGTGCAAGCCAATAATCTTCACACCTCCAATCGGCCATGCTAATGTCAAGTGCTGGTGTGCCTCAATAGAAAGAGGGGAATGATCTCGAGAAGATGCTTACGTCCTGTGACTCGTCAGTATGGATCAAAATTTCTAGTGGAAAAGCCTGGAGATTTAATTTATTCATTCCTCCTACGTATGGACACTGCCAGCTAGTAGTCCCATGGAATACCAATTTCCTTTGCAGTTGGGAGTAAGAGGTAGTAGCACGGTATTTATGCAGAAGCCTAAGGGAAGGGCAGAATAACCTCATTCTCTGGAAGAGCATCGTCTCGCACCCTCCATGAGAGCACATATTAACGTAATCGTGTCAAAAGCATTACAACTCGATATATGGGTATATCTTTTACAGAGAGAGTAGAAATTAATCAAGAGGTGAAATTATCAAGTTGGAAGGATATTGCGATGCTGATTATGCGGGAGATCACGACACTCGGCGCTCGACAATAGGCTATGCATTTAGTCTTGGTTCAGGAGTAATCTCTTGGTACAGCAAGAGACAACCTACAATGTCGCTTTCCACAATAGAAGTTGAGTATCGGGCAGCAGCAACAGCAGCTCAAGAACGTGTTTGGTTGTCACAGCTTATGAACGATCTGCATCAACCCATCGACTATTCCATTCCGTTAAATTGTGATAATCGTTTGGCTATACACATGGCTGAGAATCCGGTGTTTCATGCGAGAACAAAACACGTGGAGGTTCACTATCACTTTATCAGAGAGAAGGTTCTATAAGGAGAGATTAAAATGAAATATAATATATTCAAACGAATGATCAACCAGCTGATTAATCTTTACAAAGAGTTAAACGCAAATAAATATGGAAGATTTTCACCAACAGTGGAATGATGAAGAGAGAAATTTAATCGTGAGGGAGAGTATTAAAATATTCACGATTAATTTAGATAAAATATCACCGATTAATTTAGAAAAGATAACCACCAAAATGGGTTACTACAATAAAAATAAATACTTGGCAAGCTTAAAGCCCAAAACCCCAAGCCCAAAGTTGGAGGTCCAAGCCCACATTCTAGAATACTCCACAATTTTCCACACATGAGATGTAATGAAAATATCTTATCTAACTCTAGAATGTTCCTTGTAATCTAGACCGTCCATTTTTGTAAACAAATCTTAGCCGTACATTGATGAGGTGGAAATGCCTATAAATACAACCCCTCCTCTCATTTGTAACCAACCAAGCGAACACAAAACAAAAACCAAGTAAGTAATTCTTTCTTTAAGCTTTGTGAATGTTTGCTTCTTATTAATATAATTATATTTGGTGTTTTGTGTTACTATTATTTTGGTTGCCTTTTCCGTTATTATTTTTGGTGTTATAAATTATTAATCAATCTTGGAGTTTATCACTACACTTATATCCAACAAGTGGTATTATGCATTAATCCCAACAAGTTTTGCTCCTTCATATCTTCATGGTAAGTAAAGATTATGGTGCTTCCATAAGACTTATTTATAAAATAATTTTTTATAGTGCTTTTCATGTTTATTATATAATATCCATAACCTCTATGTCTTGGCATAATTATCATCCTGGAGATCCATTCTTATGAGTATGAAGCAATTTGGAAGAAAATAAACTGTTCAAATTACACTGGTGCCTGTTATTGTTTTCCGTTCTTTCTAATTTTGAAAATTGTGTGTATACATTATATAATAGTTGGTTTTTGCATGCCATTTCTGTTGTATACATTATATAATAGTTGGTTTTTGCATGCCATTTCTGTTATCTTTTTAATTACTTATAGTTCCCATCCTGGAATTAATTATCCTTTTCAGTTTGCAGAAAAAACCAGAAGACAGAAAATCAGCACGTCAACTTTTGGTATAGGAAATTGTATCTGTTCATTCTTTTATAAAAACATATAAGCATGTGCTGATTGAGACCTTTCAATCCAAATACCAGGAAGATCCTTTCTTGAAAACGTATGAAAGTCAGCGAGTAGATCTCCCAGCTTTCTTCAAAAATGCTCTCCACTCTTCTGAAACTTATGGTAGGTCCAATTTTTTTTTTTCTTTTGTTAAATCCTATCTTGAAAATCTTCTTATACTTGTGAGTTTAATCCACATCCTATTGAGAGTCACATCTCATAGCTGTAGTAAACTGTGATAGACTAGAGCTTAACGAAAGTGGTTGGAGATGGTGATCGAGTGAGAATATGACCTCGAATTTCGCCAGAGATGTTCATATTTATAGCATGTCCATTTACCATTGCGTTCACCCTAAATTGGATGAAAGAGTTATAAGTGTAGACTTTAATTGAGTAATGAAACTAACATGTTTGAATGTGTAGAGTTGGAGGAGTCAATAATTCAGGTTTAGATATTTAGGCCTTGAAAAACCGCCAACCTAGAAGGAAAAACACAGGCGTTGAAGGTGAAGAAAAAGATAAGAAAGCAGGAAATAAATAATAAAGATTTGATAGAGAAAATTTTCTCCTGAAATCGACCAATCTTGTGTTTCCGTTTGTGCTCATTTGTCTGTTTTGCAGAGGCAATTGAGAAGTCGATTTGTCCAGAATCAGCTTTTCCGGTTGAACTAGAGTCAAAGGAAGAGGCACCAACTCCGAAAAGAAAATCACATGTACTACTCGGGTTGTCATTATATGACTCTCTTTCTCTATGTACTAACCTCCGGAAATCAGCCTGCCTCGAAGAGTGAAATAACTACTGCTTCCATGCCGTCTCCTCAGATAGAACAAGCAACGTCTTCACCAAGATCGATGAACATTAAATACATGGGTTCTGAGGTAGGAGTCTCTTCCAAGAGAAAGGATAAAGAGGTGACAGATGAACCAGAAAAAGTAGACTCGTCGCTTTCCAAGAAATCTTCGCGGGTCAATCTTCAACTTTTAGCTATCCCTTCACACTGTCCACAGTCGGTGGTTCAGTCTGACCTGAGAGTGTCCGATCTATTGTGGCAAATGTGGTCATGGAAGTGTGCTATCCCAAAACTGATAAACCTATAGTAATTTCTCTTTAACCTCTTATTTTTCAATACCAGCATGTATGCCTCCATGATTTTATTCCTATTTTATTTTGGACAAATAAAATAAATATATATATATAAATAATATATATATATATATTTATATTTAAATTAATTATAAAATAAATATATATATATATATATATTTTAAATAATTAAAATAATCAATTAACTAAATAACCAAAATCATTTTTTATTTTATAATTGATCCCTGTGAGTTTTCACATTCTGATTTTAAATAAATTTTTTCATTTTCAATACTATGAAAAATGTCTTTCATCATTCGTTAAACCATCTCCCATATTTCTATTTTTATAAGTGAAAAATCATTCTAACGAACTACAACAACTAAAAGCCGATATACACGTACTAAATATTTTAGAGTGCCTTAAAAATTTTTTACCGTTATTTAGCACTTAAACGGTTTCGTATTGACTTTCAGAATTTATTTCAGGAGCTAGCTCCTAACATGCTTGACTTCTTTTCTTCAATCAATGATTTGCCTAAAGAGCTTGGTCAGGATGAAATGGAAATCATAGATGTTCCTAAAAGTCCACGTGCGCGTCATGGTCATTCTAATGATCTTTCAATCAAGCTGAACAAAACAATGGACCGAGTTCGTGCCTTTGCAGAGCAAGGCCTTGCTTTCATCCTAGACGAACAACAAAGTAACCAATTTCTGGAAGACATCAAGTTCTTGGCGGAGCATTCTGAAATATATTATTATCCACGGCTTTCAGCAATGTTTTTCTTGGTATTTTGCGGGTTTCCTTTGTGCCACTCAGGCATCTGAAATTAATGTGGAGGCAGCTCAGACAGAGATTGTTTGGAATAATTATAACAATATCAATAGTAATGACAAAAATAGTAAGATCCAATTTCATTAACACCTTATTTGGAATAAATGAATTCCACAACAATAGTACAAATTATACATAAAATTTTCATATGGTTACAATCTGTACAATCCATGAATTCCACTATACGATTCATTTATAACCAAGCATTAGTGGGTCAGTTTAAAATCAGAGCTGAAATAAACATTAATCACTAAAGCATTAGTGGTCACTGACCTAATGCTGCAATTCAAGCTGAAATTAACGCAGTTGTTTTGGCAGGTGGTGCTGCTTCCTGTGACCTTTTAACAAATGGTTGCTCTAAAAGCTGGTGGTAGTCGGACGTTCCTTTGGATTAACTAGGAGGCATTTCAGGATAAAGTCCTGCGAATCAGCAGAGAGATAATCAGGAATAGAAGGCAGTCTACCTTCTCCAATCCAATACCATATCGTCCATGGTTCTAAATGACAGTATGGATGTTCTTTGGTTAACATCTCCAAGACAGTGCAGCCAAGACTCCATATATCAGCTTCAAGTCCAAACCCTCCATATTTTGTCAAATCAATGACCTCATGAGCGCACCAGGCTGGAGTCCCTCTGCCTGACTTGCGAAGATTCTTCAATTCACTCACCTTTGCTAATCCAAAATCAGCAATTTTCACAACTCCATTCTCATTCAACAGTAAGTTTGCACATTTAATGTCTCCGTGCACAACATTTTGCTCATGGAGATACTCCAGACCTTTCGGTATCTGTTTGGTGTAGTAGGAAACTTGGGAATCATTAAGGGGAAACTCTCGGTAAACTTTATCAAGGGAGCCTCCATTTACAAACTCAAGAAAAACATAGAGATTTGCTTCCTCCCTTTTTTGTGCCAAAATATTCAACTATATGTTCATGATGTAGTTGACATAATAAATCAATCTCATGCTCAATTGAGCTGACTTTTTGTGCATCAGTAAGTGGAACTTTCTTTGCAGCAAAAAGGAAACCATCTGGATCAGCAATTCCTTTATAGACTTCTCCAAATGACCCACTCCCCAACATTGAGCCCCTTTGCCAATTCTTAATATTACGACCAAGTATTTTGACCTGCCAATTATCAACATGTATTTTTTACACCTTATATTGTTAGAATGTTAAGTTCTTGCAAGTTGAATAGTGATAGTACTGATGTAAGAAAACTGGTGTTCAACATATTACAACAAGTTCTTGCAGGTTGAAGATCAATTGAGAAGTTTTGGCACTATTGTTGAAAGTAATAGGACTAACATTTCTGCTATTGTTAGGCACTGACAATACTATAAAATTGATTTCTAGAAGAACATCACTAATGTTTAGCTGCTTTGAAGCTTCTATGATTAGGACATGTGAAATTCACCTACTAAGTCTTAGACAACAGAAATCTAGTATACAGGGGAAAGCCCTTACCTTTTGGTAATGAGACAACAGAGGATCAACCTCGGCTTCCCTCTCCATTTTGCCATTAGTATTTTCTGCACTATGATAAGGTCTTTGGGGTCCATGCAATACTTGATTAATGTCTTCAACCTGTAATCCTCTAAAACACATCAATTCTTTGATTGGCACACCAAAAACATTGGCAAAGCCATTTGCGAAACTATGATAAGGTCTTTGGGGTCCATGCAATACTTGATTAATGTCTTCAACCTGTAATCCTCTAAAACACATCAATTCTTTGATTGGCACACCAAAAACATTGGCAAAGCCATTTGCGAAACGTGATACCTGTTTATATATAACAGAGCGAAGTTCAAGAACCTAGCTGTACCCTAATTGAATTCAGAGAATCCCAAATCTTGTGAATTATTGAACTTACCAGGATCTTGTTATCAAATCTACTATCCAAATATGAATCATTCAACTGGTCGTTCTGCTGCGATAGAAACTCGAGATCCAATGCCACACCTACTCTCACTCTATATATCAAAGCTAATGCAATCACTTTGCCAGCAAATTCCGCACATTGATGGTGGAAGGGAGCTGGGGTGAACTCTGTTTATACACACATATATATATATGAAAGGAACTGGGTTTAATTTCACTAAAATAAGAGGTCTCCTCTCTAATTGCATAATAAGCGAGTTTGACAATTTACCGAGGTTCAGATAGAACCTAGTAGGATCATCTGAACACGCCAGAAAAAGGCGATTGTTTGAGTTGAATATAGCTTGACTTGACTTACACAGCCAGTCCTGCAAAACTTGAGGATCTGTAAATTTCTTGTTCTTGAATACTCTGAACAAATCAGTGTCCAGATTCTTAGACCAATTAACAAGCTCCTGAATCAACTCTATAGCAGGTTCTTTTACTTCAGAGATCATCAACAAAACTAAATCCATCCTGGATTCAGAATCAGTCACATCATTGTGCTCAAGAAGCCACCGATAGTCATAGTCATCTTTTCTATCAGCGAATCGAAGAACCAGTGCACGTATTGCAACCTTTGTCTTTTTTAATACGTCCCAAAATTCTGTCTCTGCACCCTCAAGAAATTTAGAAATGAAATTCAGTTCTTCCAAAATGGGAAGATACAGAGACCATTCAGAGCGGACATTTTCTTCATTAATCTTTTCTTCCTGTGTAAGATCATTGATCTTTCCTTCCCACTATGGTCTATCTGAAGTGCTTTAAGCCGGTGCTCCATCTTTACCAACAACTTAAGAAATACAGAATGCAGAGAATCCATTTTTCCTTCACAAATAGAATTACTCTCTGGAGTAGGAGAAGAGTTAAATTCTTGAATTGCCTGAAACAGAAGGCGTGAGAATACCTTGAAGTCCTTAAAATCACTCAAGAACGACTCTGTGTTCTCCTTGCTTGAAGGTGAAGTGGTGCACCAATCTAAATCCCGAACCAACCTGTATTGCAAATCTTCAACGATGAATGGAATCTGGGAAATCGTTTGCATTTTATATTTAAAACGGAGCAAGTAATTTCCCTTTTCAGCTAAATCTCTTGAACGACGAACCGTTAGGATATACAGAGGATCCTCACGACAAAATTTGGTCCTCATAGACAAACATAATTGTAAGACGACAGAGGCACGTTCGTCAAGGCAACTTGCTAGATGAGGCGCAGTAATCAATTGCAGAAGATACCGAATATAGTCATTGCCTTTCTTTCTGTGCATCCCATTTTGCGAATTGTAAAGCGTCACGAAAGTCTGCAAAATACCAGACTCAATTAGTGCTTTCAAAACGCTCTGGAATATCGCAGTCGTCCAGAAAATTTTCAATGAAGCACGTTAAACATGCGCGCCCAGTAGGTTTGCCTTGACGTATCGCATCTCACGTTGAAATTATGGCCTTAATGAAGTCGTATGGATCAAATGAGGTCGATGAGAGTTTGGCCATTCTTTACTGTGGATGAATGACGGAGAGGGAGGAAATAATGCTAACTGATTCTTGATTGCCTTCTGGGTTAGGGAAAGTCAAATTGAAGTATTTTTGGTTATTTTCTTTTTACAGCAATAATTACTTTTCAAAATTCAAACCATCCTTAAATCGATTTAAATATTTTCTTAAACCACTATTATTATACAAATTTCCAAAACAAACAATCAACACGCCTCGTAGAAAGTCATAGATAGTGGCTTTATTTTTTTTTTTTTTTAAAGTTATTAAACATAAACAATTGCAGACTCTTTTCATGATATTTATGGCGATTAAGAAAATAATTTATTTTAAAATATTTATCACATTTATAATTTTAATCAGTAATAAATTTTTTTTTATATATTTATTTTTTATAATTTTATCACATTTTATAATTTAATCAGTAATAAATTTTTTTTTTAATTATATTTATTTTTTATATATAATTAATAATTTATTATTTTTTAATTTAATTAATTTTTTTTAAAAAAATTAATATTAAATTAAAAATAATATAATCCAATTTATTATAATTTTAAATAAATTTTATTATAATTTAAATAAATTTAATTATTTTATTAAAAAATATAAAATTTTAAACGTGTCAAATATTATAAATCACAATACTACCAATAATAATGGTTTGTAAATAAAGAGACCGCCATCGTTTGATTCTGGAAGACAACGCTCATTTCACGCGCATAGTCTGAAGCCTGAAGCCTGAAGCCTGAAGTCTGAAGTTAAGCTAGCCTGGACATAATTTTTGATGTCTAATTCATTGATGGCAATTCATGGAAAATATATTTTTATTTAATTAATTGGACGGTGGAATACCTACCATTTAATAATAGGAAATCGTAGCATGGTTTAATTAAACATCTTAATTATCCTGAATTCTAATATTTTTTTATGATATATTCTATTTTAATTAATTATCTTTATTTTTTTAAAATTAAAAATATTTTAATTCTTATAAAATATTGACTACAAATAAATATTCCATTCAAAAGTCATCACTTACCACCAAGTAGAAAATGTTCTTCTAAACTTGCTGCTTCAGTGTTCATATTATTTTGCAAATGAAAAGACCCGTACACCTCCCGCACAAAGGCCACTATAGAAAAGTATAAATAATCTTTACATTAACACTTCCAACTCTATTCTAACCCTTCCTTCAATTTTTCTTCCTCTCTCTCTGGTCTCTCCTGTAAACTCTCTTTGAAATCGGGTTCGGATTCGGATCCTCATAGTTGCTTTTGCAGAAATGTCAATGGAGTCAAGCTTTGGCTCCGGCGAGCATAAAATCGAAGGAACACCTACTCACGGTGGACGTTACGTCCAGTATGATGTGAGCAGCATCCTCTTTGAAGTATCCAGAAAGTATGTCCCTCCGATTCGTTATATTTCAAAAGGTGCTCATGGTATTGTGTGGTAAGATTCTTAATTACTGATTGTCCTTTTGTATCTATTGTTTGAGGTGCTAACCAGAACAACCGCTCCAGGTTTTTATCAGAAAAACTAAATTTTTTGGTTCAGTTCAGTTGTGTATGCGGACAAATGTTGTTCTGGTGGACTATAACTGATTACGTTTTCCTTACATTTGACTCAATGGCTTTGTCTTACCAACAATGGAAAGGAAGATGTGATTTTTTATTTCCTTCAGTGCTGCCAAGAATTCCGAGACAGGGGAGGAAGTTGCCATTAAGAAGATTGGTAATGCTTTGCCAGAGAGGGCTAAAGGGACTCTCCGAGAGATTAATCTTCTCTCAACATGACCATGAAAATGTCGTAGTCCTTGCTGTTCGTGATGCTCATGATGACTTTATTAACTTTGTCATTATTGCTTTTAATGGTGTCTTCAGTTTTTTGCTCGTTCTGATCAGATTATGCAGTCAATAATTGCTGCAGTTCTCTAACTTTCCATTTCTTCTGTTACTCCATATACATTGAGATCATTAATTTTAAGTTAAATTTTCATTGTTTGCAAATAAAGTATTCGATAAAGAATGTACTAGAGAGTAATAAATCTTCAATTTGTGTTGTATTTCTGCTTTGTTTTAATCCTGAAGCTTAAACTCTAACAAAGACAACTCAGAATACTTATTTTTGTTTGACCGCTATAAATATACTTATCACTCTCTTTTCCACCGCGCGTGGATGTGGTTTGGGAATTATTACTCTTACTCTCTGTTTATCATATATTGAGATTATAACTTATAATCTCTCTCTTTTTTTCCTCAGATAAATTTCTCATCAATAATATTCTATTAACGCGCCTCCCAAAGGAAACTTCTTATGCTTACATTGTATGAATTATGAAACTATCTTTGAATCAATATAGAAATCCAAACAAATATTGACAGGATGATCATTGTCAGTATATACTTATTCTGTTCTTTGGATCGCGTTTCTTTACATTTCTCAGCTATAATATTATAATTTTTCTCCTTTATTAGTCCCGCTATCATACTTCTCTGAAATTCTTGCCTCTTGCCCTTTTAACAATAAGACGTTCGCGATTGCCATTTTCCCTTGGGGCATTTGACATTCAAATGTATTTCTCACATCCGATTCATCCTCTCTTCTTTTACATTTCTGATTTAAAGCAATCGAAACTTAATTTAAAAGAATAAGCCAAAACATTGGGAATATTGTGTGCTTTGGTACAACAAGCGTTGAATTAAGCTTTAGGTTGTTGGAGCATATGTATGCTTTCTCTGAGCTGTCACATTTACATAACACGTTTTAGATCTTAGGGTTCCACCCAACCCTCCCCATCCTAAAAAAAAAATTGGAAAAAGAAATAAAATATTCTTGTCACTTTTGTCAATTTAGCTCATAAACTGTGCAGGCCCATGCGAAACTTATTCCCAGTAAAGCTACAGCTTACCTAAGTTGTATTGTTATTGTTGTATTACTATCCATGAAAATAACATGAATAAGCATAAAGATTCTTACCAAACACATTCTTACGTTTTTTTTTTTCTTTGTTTGTAGCTACTTTCCTTTCAAATGCTTCGATGGCTCAACCTTACTATTCACTTACAACACGATGTCTTGTCATCGTGATCTAACCCGACATATTGCTCTTGAGAGCCTGAGGCCACCAGTAGATTGCGGGACTTATGTTTGCAAGGAAAAAATCAAAACCTTACCCCGATGAGCTGAAGAAGTTGTTAAACGCGTTACCAGCAACCCAGAAGTCTACTCATGAGAGCATTCATCAGACACGAAGCAATTGATATTGATGTCAGTGTGTTGTACTAACTTTTGACGGATAATGACAGGCAACTTTCCTGGTAACAGGAATAGTCTCAGCTGAACGCTTATCATATAAGTATGTTATTGGGACATTTTCTCAGCAAATCTTCACTGTACATCCCTGCAGCTCTTTTTTTCCCCAAACTCAAAGCTTTTTATCCGATGCGTAAGACCTTAACAATCTTTTTGTTTTCACCTAATTTCGTCATGTCATCTTTTTCTTCCCTTCTCTCTATCCTTTTCCCCTATCTCTGCTCTTCCATCTCTGAATGATGTTATTTCTGCAGAGTTGTGAAATTACATTAGCACCAAATCCTCTTTGCTTGTTGCTCCTTCTCTAGTACACAAGCTTTAGATTTTAAACATGGCATGCCACAACTCTTATAATGTTTGAAATAATATATTTAACTGGTGCACTGATATATGAATTGCAGTCTTATTTATAGCTGTCAATTTACTTTTAAGTCCAATAATATCTAATTCCATCTGTTTTCTGCCTCTCTAGCCATTGGGTCGTGCGCGGGCTTCGCCAGATGATAAGCTCCCAACCAAGATTTGCATCTAATTTTCATAATGTTTCCAAATGTGGCGTACATATTGTCTAAAGATGATGACTTTTGATCTGAGCTAGAGAGGACTGCTTAGTCCTTTGATCCAAAATCATGTCACGCATAAAATGTTGTATTAATATAATACATCACTTTTATATCTTTTTTTTTTTTTTTTTTCTAATTTCCCACACAGCATCCTTCATACTTCATGGTTAAGAGCACTAATCCTCTAGACTTAGCCAACCTTGCCTCCCCTTCTTGACCCTATAGAAGCTGTTTCTATAACTTATTTTTGTACCCTACCACTTTAATAATAACTTGGATGGGGTGACTGATTGTTATGAGTTCTAATGACTGTTGTAGCACTCTCTATACAAAATTAATATCTCAGCCTATCTCCATGGACAATTATAATAAGTATATCTGATTAGTTAACCTGCTTCGATCTCATATAAAAAATAAAAAAAAAATCTCCAAATGGTAGCACCATTTTTAATAAGGTGGGCTACCCCGGAATTTCACCACTGAGAAGAACTCTCTCTTTCACTTCCTTCCACTTCACTTTTCTTCGACCTTGTTCCATCCTCTCAAAATTCTCTCTTAAAGTTAAGAATAACAGCAGTAACAAACTGTAAAAATTAGAAAAAAAAAAAATGAAAAACCAAGAAACTTATATCATTTTTAACTATCAAACTGCCTTCGAGTAAAAATATGCATAATACATCATTAAATTCCATTCTTTCGAATCTGTTATTAAATTCTTTTAATTGGGTAACTTTTCTTAGCGCAAAAAGCTATCTTCTCCCATTTCGTTTCCTTCTTTTGCATGTTATGAGCTCTAAGCCACCTCTAACCTGTCACATATCAAATATCGAAAACAGTCGAGTCCGTTTCCCGAGTCTTTTCATACTTGTTGATGTTTGAGAACTGCTATCACTTTCCTG